TTCATACAGGTTCCAGACCACGCAACCTCCAATAGAAAGCTTAATCTTTATATAATAGCTCAATTGATTTCGTTTCTTTATTTATATTAGTTGTTAAAATCAAATTTTCATTGAAGTAGTACTTATTTTACTGGCTAATCCTACCCAATTTAGCAAAATTACTTGTATTGAAGAGTTTTTAATGACCGTTTCGACAGGTATGATTAGATATGTTAAATTCCTTTAATTGGTTTGGTTATGAACGATTTACGTGGTAGTGGACGGTAGTATTATACGCTGCGATGATTTTATGATTCATGGAATTTCTTTTTATTTTCTACTTCGGTCTAAAATGAGTGTGTCAGAAAACTTAAGACAACTAGTCCTCGCTTCATATTTTTCTATGTTAAGAAAATATATTTCATGTAATTTGTATTTTCGATTTTTATTCCTTCCATTATTCTACCGTTTTATGTTGTCATCATTCCACAGTACAGATATTAATCGTGCTATTTTCTTAAAGAGGAGCATCTGAGAAAAGAATGCACCTACCTATTTGACATTTTTTAATGCACATAAAATATGCTGAATGTTTTATTGGATAGGTGTTCTTTGTAGTTTGAAATTTCGAGAGTGTCTATAATGGATTCACAAATCTTTATTTACAAATGTCGAGAATAGGTCCTCGGATACGGCATTTGAGCTGCTGCACGCTCATTTTCTATTTGGCAGTTACGGCCGGTCGCGCGTTTAGGGAATTGCAATCTTTGCAACATTTTGCTACGGTTTGCTACGCTTTGCACGATTAGTTGTATAAATTACTGAAGTGTTGTGACTGTAATATATTTACGATTAGATATTTATTTTTCTTTAACCGCAATCTTTGGTATTTAACATATTACCTTTGTTATTAGATTTTGTAAGGAACGTCGAAATTTCTTTTTCCAAACATTAAGATTAAAGACGTTATTATTTTTATAAATTTTAAATTAAAATTACAAATAACCATAAATAGTTTAATTTTCATTATAGCTCAGTATAACGAAAAGACAATCGTCCAAACCAAATAATTTAATTATTATATGATCGATGTGATAGATTTATCATGTGAACTGTAATATTAATGAATAATAATTAATTATTATCGATTAATTGTATTGACCGTAGCGTGTGTTTGAATAATGATTAAACGTTTGTTCCATTATTGTTATCATTGTTATATTTATGATAGTTTGAATCATTCGATGACACGTTTGAATAAAATTAAAGTGATTATTTAAGACTGTTGAGGTTTCCAACTTAGAATTTTAATATTTTTAGGGTACCGTACCTTTGAAGATAGCCAAAAATAAAACTTCTAAATTGCCCTAAAAAAAACGGCTATTTACGCTTCAAAAAACTCATATTTCGTCACTCGCGGGAATCAAAATTTGATTAGGGTACTTCCCGTTTATATATGAAACTATGAAATTTGGCAAGTAACATCATTTTATAGTACACTAAGCTTTATTATAGAAATTACGTTTACCCATTAAAATCCATTGTGTGTTTAAAAGATCTCAGCATACAGACAGCGCGAAGTGGCTTTATTTAATATTATTTAAAGAAGTTGAAGGAGAAAACTATGAACTATGAACATTTGCAATTAAATCATATATATTCAGTCTTATAGTTGGTCGGAATTTAAAAGGTTTCTACGAGTTCAAGTGGCGTGTCATATCATATGAAAGGGCTTGATGTGCATATTTTATTTATTTTTCACAGTGCACAAATACTTATTTGTAAAAAAAAAATTAATGTGGTGTTCCCGTTTTCTTTATACATTTGTCATGGCTGCTCCACCCTATTGCGCTGGGTTAATAGCCTATAGACTTCATATTTAATACAAAAACATTTTTTCAATTCGAGCTAGTACTTTCTGAGATTACAGCGTTCAACCAAACAAACTGTTCAACTTTTCTAATATTAAATATTTATTGATATGGAACCCTAAGGGCGCGAATCTGACTCGGTTTTGGTAGATCTTACGTTAAGTATTTAGCATACAAGTTTCTTATACAAAGTATTATGTTTCAATTAGAAAACATATTGTTTAAATTAAAACAGTTATTAATCGTATTATGATTATCATGAATCAACGTTGGTCACCAACTCTGTCTAAGGTTATTAATTCCATGGGAGAGCTGTACATGCGATTATCATTATCAGTGAGATAAATAATTATATTGTTTACGTTTAAGTATAACAAAGTTGTAATAACGTCACGTATAATTTAACGCACGTATGCAAATTTTATGCGGTAACGTAGTTAATTATAATTCGGAGTTGATATTTAACGACAAAAACATGTAAACATTAGTGAGAATGTATAATTTAACGGACAACAGTAATATCTACTAAGTTTAGTTTTATTTCAAATCCTATTATTGGCCGCTATACGCCGCTATTTTAAATTGAGCTTTTAAATAGAGCCCTTTTAACTACTTGCCGCATTGATTTCCACCAATTAAAACTGAGGGTGGCGAAAGGGAAGTTCTAGTCAGAGTCTCCCAACAAGGGTACGTACAAATTTGTATTTGAGTTACAAATAGTTCTGAAATCGAATAAAGTATGTCTTGATATATGCATAGTAGATTTAATTTTAAATTTCGTTTTTATATTTTTTATGATTCAATCACAAATTTATTGGATGTTCTGTGTTTGTCCTTTTAAGTTACAGAACCCTATAATTAAATTATATACTGGAACAGACTTCAGTTATGTGATAAATGAATTATTCAGAGTTAATTCTCGACCGATACCGACAGGAGACCTAAATCGAGTAAATCTTTCATATTTCCCGATGCGGGGAAAACTTTTACTACGTCACTTGGAAAATCACGGATGAGTTCTCAGAAGCCCAATAACTACTGGCGGGAGCACGGTGTGATAAACAACCAGATAGTATTCGCCTGAATTGACTACAAAGTTTACTATGTAGTCGATTCAGGCGATCTACATAATGAAAATGCTAAAGTTATATAAGTTGAATCCGAGTATACGCTCAGTGTTTCGTTTAATACTGTAAGCGCTTACCCCTTTTTGTGGACGCTCTACCAATAATCGTTGCTACGGTATGGTAGTGTTTCCCTTAGATTAAACAAATCCTGTTGATGAAACTCAATTTATCTGAGTGCAAAATTTGTGGCTCTACTATTAAAATGAAACTCTGAACGATACAGGCTAATAGATTCAACTGTCACATTTGAGAACGTAATAACGAAGTTCTGACTTCATTTTGACACATCAATCATGGTTTGAAGTTACGCGGTAGAGCTGCTGGTGTAAATTAAGCAATGGCTAACGTAGACCTTTATCCTTGTCTGTTTTCAGTTAAATTTATGCTATATTTCTATTTTAGGAAGAGGTGTAGATCCTAAAAATTCATTATTTCCAAGCCGCACATTTTTGTTTGTATAAAAACGGATAAAAATAATAATAATAAAAAAGCTTGAACCAGTTTTCCCGCACTCGCTAATACTCAATTCATTAGCATATTTTATTTACCTGACACGGTTTTCCGCTATTTTCCACGTCGTGAGCTACTGGTACGTAGGTACGTTCGTATAGGTTTTGAGTTCATTCGGCCGCGCTGTCATTGTAATTAATAATGAGTAATGTATGAGAAATTTGTATCGTGTCCTCTATCTGCTTTGACATAAAAGCTGAATAACTAGCAGAATTTCAGGTTTCATATTTAAAAGTATAAGTTTTTATAGAATCTAATGTATTTAGAAAATATCAGGCAGCTATATCACATCCCCGGAATTATCAAAAAAGCCATAAGCTACAGCACAAAAATTGTTCAATTCTTTTTATGTAGACAATATTTACACCCATATTAAATAGGACAAAAAATTATCGATATAGTACCGCGTCACAATTATTTATATCGTCACGTGGTTGCGGTGAAGTAACATTAGTATATTTTTTAATTTATCATTCACCTTGACATTTCAGATAACGGCCATATGATGCGTGAAATGTTTTTATTTAAATTGGCAATTAAATTTCTAAAGTGGTATTTGCTTTTTAAGGCAGTTTGGAGTAAATAAGATATTTTAGTCATTAAGAGAAAAAAATCTAAAAATACCCCGAAATGTTAGTTTTAGTTCATAAAATAAAGAAATTTAATTTAAAAATTAAAATCAAAGTTTTCTTATCTTTTGTCTGTGTTTTTAGTAAGCGAATTAGTAGCCGCCATAATATGACGTCATTCGGTTGGTAAACTAACAAGAAAAATAAGTTTTAAGCAAAAAGAATAAGTTTTGAGGTTATTAAAAAAAAAGAATTTATTAAAATAATACCATCGAACATGGTTTTGTAAAATTCGCCAATAAATTTACCAATATTAAACTATTATCGTCGGAAAACTAATTACTGCAAAACTCGATGTTTGTTCTGTTGTATTACGAAATGTTAAAACATTGATGTAGGTACTATCTCCTTACAACTATTTAAATATGATAAAAAGTGCATAAAAATCTTATAAAATGAGAGAAACCAATAAGCATTTAAGTGTCATTATCGAAAATAGTATATTAAGCATTACTAGAAAAAATAATAATATGTATTTATTTTCGTTTACTGTCTACAACCGTATTCGCGAAATTTGAAAATGTAAAGTTTAGATGTCATTTTATGACACTTACTGATTGAATAAATATTTTATATTTTTTTCGATATAGTTACTTTGAAAAAAAAAAAAGGGTAATAACCCTATTGGCTGAAGAATGACGATAATTGTTGAAGATGTCAATACAATCATGGTAGTTGGAGGTACAAAAATGCAAGAATTATATAAAATAGCTTAATTTGAAATAGAATGCAAAACTTGTATAGAGAATATTAAAAAGAAACTTGATTTTAATAAGATATCCATATTATGAGGTCGAAGTGGAAGCAAATTATTAAAAATATGAGCGGAAGTTTTATCTGATTTCCATGGTTGTGGTATGATTTCGTTTCTGGTTTTGTTACAGGACCGTGTTTTGAATATCACCAGTCAGATCATGGACCAAATTTTGGGGGACGAGCGCGTTGCGAGAGGATTCAGAGTGAAATTTCCAGAAGACGTGCTGCAAGACAATTTGGCCGGGCAGCTGTGGTTCGGAGCTGAGGTAATTTTTTGTTTCTTTTTTTCTTTAGAACTGAAGTGAAGCAAAGAATCATTCTATTAATATTCAGATAAATAATATGCGCTATTCTATTTCATTTTTAACAAATTTCAACTTTCAAAAAATCTTTTGCAGCTTCATATATACTTAAGCGTTAACTTTAGCGTTGTAATCGTTCAATAATTACGAAAGTTAAGATTGTCAGGTTTTAAACATGTCAATATAAAAATATATATATATTCCGATAAGTAACTACAGATTGTATGTATTTTGGCTAATTGCACATTGTAATTTCTGTAAACACCAACTTGTTCGAATTCACATTTTGTACAATTTACGAATTATATAGATTTAAATGAATGGAAACAAAGACACCATATTAGGTTTTTTCTCTACATTTATCTATAAATTGAAAGACATATTATATAAGACTAGCTTTTGCCCGCGACTTCGTCCGCGTGGTAAAGTTACTTTGAGCAACATTTCTAACGAATATTTATTAATTATATCGTATAAAATACCTGAAATAAACTTTCATCCTCTATTTTATCCCCTTAGGGTTAGAATTTATGAAAATCCTTTCTGAGGAGATGCCTACGTCATAGTAGATTAATGCATGCAAAGTCTCAGTCCGATCGGTTTAAAATTGACAAAGTTTCATACAAACTTTCATCCCCTATTTTATCCCCTTGGGGGTAGAATTGATCAAAATCCTTTCTAAGCGGATGCAGCGGATGACTCTTGATGCTTGCACGTTTGCTCATAACATATGCAATGCAATGCATGCCAAATTTAGCCCGATCCGTCCAGTGGTTTTGGATGTGCGTTGATAGATCACTATGTCAGTCAGTCACCTTTGAGTTATATATATTTAGATTAAATTTTCTTTTGATAAGAAATAAAAATATTAAATAGTGAAGGTATGGATGATAGTGGGATTACACGTGACTGATAGGTGGAGGTTAGAGGTGGAGGTTGAACCTCTAGGTTGGCTGATGTAGAATGAGTTTAATGAACATTAAGGAGAACCGAATATAATAAAGAAAGTTTGAAGGGAATCTAAATAAATAAATAATTAAAGGTAACATACTATAGAAGAAGCTCGTGGGCGTGACGTTTACGATCGGTCTACGAATGCGGATGTTATCATCAGATATGCAATCAGATGGGTGACTGAAACCGCGTAAGAGTTATCCTGAGCTATTACGTGTTTCGAGAAACTTGTCTCAGTTGTATTAGTAAATGTATTCTTTTAAATGAATATGAACGAGGATGTACATATGCTTTAAAGCCTTTTTGTAAAGATAATATAGGCAAGAAATGCTTACATATATTATAGCTTACGTATGAAAAAAGAAAATTAATGGACAATAGATCGTTTGCATAAATCCAACTGTCTGTCTCGTTACAGTGCCTAGCCGCGGGCTCTTCTATAATGAACAGGGAAGAGGAGTCGGCAGCGATGCGTCCTTTGGCCAAAGCACTTACTCGCAGTTTAGAGACTGTGAGGTCATTGCTGCGCGAGCAGTGTCTGAGGCCGCGTGGACACGCGTTGTCGCAACACGACGACATGCTTCAAGAGAGCTTGCGGATATTCGACAGGTAAGGTAACTGAACGAGACCTAAAGTATTATATGGACATGAGCCAGTTATGAGGAAACATGAAAGAGGTAGAATATTGCTAATTTTATTTTCTTATTCCTATCTATTGGAGATTAAAGTTTGACAGATGTCTTTCTCGAACTGTTAAGTTTTTTCGCATTATTTATTGTTTTAGTACGTAGTTATAAGTATGTAGAATCTGATCATAAAAAATATGTAATTTTATGTAGATTGAGGGAGAGACGAATTATGCCTATTCTAGGCATATGACTGTCTAGGATAAATTAATTTTAACCACTTTACTAGACTTTTTTTTTGTGTTCTCGTTGCAGGCTGTTCGCTGAATTCGAGTTGTGTTACGTGAGCGCAATGGTAAACGTGAAAACACCTCACGAGTTCGAAGCGCAGCAGCTGATATGTGTCCTCTTCTCTGAGAGTCTACGCCGAGCACTTAAACAGAACCTTCTGACACAGGAACAAGTAAGTGGGGCTTACACATAGATGATTCGTTTGGTATCATTATTATGCCAACCTCAAGTATATACGTTAAATATACGACGACTTCTAGTGAGAATCTACGACGAGCAACATAAAAATTAACTTAACTGTATCGTGCCCCGATACACGGTACTTTGTCGTGTCGTTTTATACTTTTGGTACACTCCTTCACCGGAGCGACATTTGTCGTTAAATATTCAAAGATAACAGTCATTTATGTTTATCAAAAATTCAATATAATTTATTCACTTTAGGTTGTTTTTAGCATTTGTGAAAGGCGAAAGCTACTCTGAAAAGAATTGACTAGTTTTTGCTCCTTGTTATTTCATACCGAGAAGTCCAATCGACATATGACTTTATTACACAAAAGTAACAAAAACAGATAATTTCAAACGATTAAGTAATATGTCACGTCATACATACATACTGATAATAATATTAATATTCCTAATAATATGCTTAATAACAGGAAATGGACTCAATTACGTAGTCTAGAGCAGACTCATGCACAGAATTTGTTGCAGCAAAGAGTGGAGTTATATTTTATTATAATATAATATATAGTATATTATACTATATTTATCAAATTCTTCTCCACTCCTATAGTATCTAAGAGTAACGAGGTAGTTTCTCATTCTTACGGTTAGATGCACAAACGTTCATTAAGGTTTATTGACTCTTTTAACCACTTATTAATGTCAAATTTGTATGGGTAATGTCGTTTCAAACTAATGAAATTTATAATGGACGTTTGTGCAACTTGCTGTTAGTCGTATCGCAAGGTTTTGATCTACACTGTTATGCTTCAACGCACATTGATTACCGATAAAAATCGCTCTTATGAAAAACTTTAATATACTTATAATCTTCTTATCTTATATTTGTAGAGGTAAGATAACATATTGAAAACTAGGAGTTCGAAAAACGTGTGTTATTGTATCTATGAAATGTCATTTCTAAGTAAAGAAACTTCGTCATGTCATTTCCTGCTGTTTATTTTTATAGGAGAATTTTGAATACTTGAATAGTAACGATAATTCGCGTCATAACAATGTTGCCTACAACCATATTGAAATGATATTTATTAGTTCGTTATTGCCTAAGTTTCCATAAATCTATCTTCTTATTCATACTGAATCTATGAATCTAACATTGTTACAAAACATGATTTCAACTACACGGTGTAGGTTTCTATTTCGTGGAATTTGGAATTGTAATAACTAGATATCATTCTATTCGTTTAAAAGTATTTTTTATTAGTTGATGTGCCGTATGTATTATTTGGCAGGAGATATTCAAATCCAGTCACAATTCAGTGGTTTCCGCGTAAAGATATAAAAACTTTCAGACCTTCTGATATTAGTACTATTTAAATTGATGATAGTTTCTTAAATAAAACATATTGTATAGCAGTTGTAATTCCTTTGATGTCATGATTTTTTTTTCGAGAATTCAAAGTTATTGTGTTGTGTGCTCTATTTAATGGGGATAAAGAATGATTTAATCATTTATTGTTTCAGGTTGACTCATATGACCCCGCACTTATGTTTGCCGTGCCACGTCTGGCGATTGTCAGTGGTCTACTTATTTACTCAAGTGGCCCTCTTAGCATAGACAAACCACCAGGTAAATTTGAATTTAAATATTCAGCCAACAACACAATGGTTAGGAAAATTGTACAATTTTTGGAATTGATTTTAAACTTTAACACATTGTAGGTAAAGTTCTAAATCGAGCCCTAATCGACAGTATATGTATCATATACATGATATATTATTGACGTCCATCACCTTAACAATTCTTTTGTCAATGTAAAATAATATGTAGATCTTGATATATAACTGATTCATGAGAATACGTATTTTAATGTTTCTGAAGTATTTGAATTATTTACTTATGAACTATTTGAAAATATTAACAACAATAACTTTTAACTACTTTTCAAATAGTCTGGCTATTTGAAAAGTATCAATCTATATACCTCAAAGGTAACTAAATAACTCAAAGGTGACTGACTGACTGACAAAGTGATCTATCAACGCACAGCCCAAACCACTGAACGGATCGGGCCGAAGTTTGGCATGCAGGTAGATGTTATGACGTAGGCATCCGCTAAGAAAGAATTTTGACCAATTCTACCCCCAAGTAGATAAAATAGGGGATGAAATTTTGTATGAAACTTTATCAATTTTAAACAGATCGGGCTGAGATTCACGCGGACGAAGTCGCGGGCAAAAGCTAGTAATAAATAAACTTCAATCAAACCATCTTCTGAATGTATCCAATTCGTAATAACTTAATACTATAACAAAAATATACAATCAAAACTAAATTGAACCACAAAAAATCTACAAACATAGATTTGTAATTTTAGTCCAATAGTAAAAGGTATATAATAAAAAATAATAAAAAATTGTAGATATATTATGACTGTTGCAATTGATAGTTTTATTTTTTCACTACGAGGGTCAAACTGAAAGTTCTTAGAAAATCAAAAACTGATTACATTAGCCAGTTATTAGTTTTATTATATCTTTTCAAAATATTGTCCATTCACGTCAATACACCGCTGCATGCGATGGAACCACTGGGAAAAGCACTTTGCCCACTCGTCCTTAGGGGTCTCTTCAATGGCATCGCGATACGCAGCCACCGCTTCTTCAGCATTCATAAACCGCTTTCCTTTAAGTTTTTCTTTAATTTTTGGAAATAAATAAAAATCACAAGGCGCGAGGTCGGGGCTATACGGCGGGTGACCCAGTAATTCAACGTTTGATGTCGCCAAATAGTCGATCGTTCGCTTGGCGGTGTGCGACGAGGCGTTCTCGTGGTGAAGGAGGATCCTACTGCGAGGTCGTTTCTCTCGAACTTTTTCCAAGACAAGTGGCAAACAATTGGTAGTGTACCATTCTGCAGAAACTGTTTTTTGATCCTCTAACACAATTGTTGCAAAATGACCTATCCTTCCAAAGAACGAGGCCACCATTTTTTTTCCCGCACTTCGATCTCTCTTCACTTTAGTTGGCAACTCCTCGAAAGGAAACACCCACTGAGCAGATTGTCTTTTGGTTTTAGGATCATAACAGTAAATCCAGCTTTCGTCACCTGTTAGTATGTCGAACACAGCATTTGAGTCACCTCCGTTAAATCTTTCAATCATTTTACGACACCAATCCACACGATGGAGTTTTTGAGCCTCAGTCAAATTATGAGGTATCCACCGGGCGCAAAGCTTCCTGACCGCTAAATGTTCGTGGAGGATTTTGTGCACTTGACTCATACCGATGCCTAAGCTTGTCCGAATCTGTTGATAGGTCACTCTTTTGTCAGTCTCTATCATACGCCGCACAACACAGATGTTATCTTCAGTCGTCGCCGTAGAAGGCCGTCCCTCACGTAAATCATCAGTGAGATTAGTGCGACCACGTTTAAACTCATTAAACCAGTTGTAAACAGTCGCACGAGATGGGGCTTCATCGTGAAAGGCCAATCGTAGTCTATCATAACTTTCTTGTTGACTTAAATGACATCGAAAGTCATAAAAAATCATTGCACGAAAATTTTCTCGTGTTAAATTCATGATGACGTGACACAGACAATTTTCAATTTGCCGCCAAATCGTAAAACAAATGACAAATGAATGAAATATATACTCAGTAATATTGGCAAAGAGTTATATTTTCAAATTTTAGAATTATTTTTTTATTATATTGTTTATAAGTGGCCAGTTCTAAGAACTTTCAGTTTGACCCTCGTATTTATTTCACTGTCTTTGTTGAATGTAAAAAAATAAGTAAAAATTAAAATGTGGGATCAGCACGGTAGATTTATGATAAATGAAAATTTATTTAGTAATAACAAGATATAGTGAAAGACTTCCATAATTAATTTAATTAATACATAATTAATCGCCCGAAAGAAATTTCGGGCGATTCTTGTTATTTTCATTGGTCGGTCATTGTTTTTTGACTAGTGAGATGAGCGTCCTGAGATCACTGTGCTGACCCCATCAACCAGTGTATTAGCCAAAAATGGGTGGGATTGGAGTAAGCGTGATTTTTTTACTTGTCATTCCGGTAGAAGAAGAACAAAGAAAACTTCTATATTTCCAGAATACTCGTTTCATTTTTTATATTCTATCAGGTACTACCCATACTTGAAGTTATATTAATACTAGCTGTTGTCCCGTGACTTCGCACGCGTAAATAATAGCACATGTCAACCTCTTATGATGTAGCTACCCGTAGGTAAAATAATTTTTAAAATCGGTCCAGTATTTTAGGAGCCTACTCGTTGCGAACAAACAAATCTTTCCTCTATATAATATTAGTTTATATGAAATATATAAAAAAAATCGAGTGAATTCCTAGACAATGTTGTTTTTTTATATATTTAAGGATATTTCTTGTCGTTTTTTTTTCAGACGAGATGTCAGATATGTTTCGGCCGTTTCGTACTCTTCTACACAAGATCCGCTCGTTGCTGTGGACACTCGACCGACGCGAGCTGTGCGCTCTAGAACGGTTACTTTGTTCCAACGAAGATATCTCCCATCTGGCCTCACTCGATCTACCCACAGGTATTTTTTTTTTGTACCAAGTAAAAATAGGGGCGGAGCTTCGTACGCCATTACTTCCTATAAAACAGAAAAAGCAACAGATGGACATAGTAACTGTAATCTTCTAGCTAAGTGAACTGAATTTTGAGCAAAAACAATTTTGTTTTGTTCTTGAACAGAACAAAAATTATTTTATTCACTTAAATTTTTTTTGAGTATCTTATGAGTTAGTTAATGAAATGTGTCTGAACCCTGTTTTTTTATAAAGTACTGCATTTTTATCACATAATTATAAATTAAAATATTGTTTGACATTATTATAATATTATAAAATTTATCATAAATGCACCACCAACTGTCCTAATTTTTTATACCTATTTCTAATTGTAGGTTACCTGATAGCAATAATTGCATAGCGATAAGGCCACCATTTTGTGACTTGTATGTTTAAGTTTTAATACATACATGTAACTTATTAGATAAGAATAAAATTTATTCTAAAATTTGCCCTATTCTATTAAAGATCGAATTTTAATGTAAGTGCAATTTCTTCATTCGCAGCCGGTGATACGTTGGATGAATCATCGTGCCCGTATCCAGATATAAGTGAATTTGTGTCAAGGTTTTACGCAGACCATGCGCACTGTCGAGATCTCTACACTCAAAGGTATCATATTAATTTAAAAAAAAATGAATCATTTCTTGGAGTTGCTTATGATCTATAATTTTAATATTTTCAACCAATGACTATCATCATTCAAAAATATAAAGTACTTTACATCAATGACTCTATGTTGTCTATGATCTTGCTTATGTTTGTTTATATGTTACTTTGAATTCAAAATTAGTGGCATTTTTTGGCTATCTGCTAATTTGGTTTTTCTTATTTTCCAGTTCCATTGAACCCACAATAACAGACGCGGATTATCTCCCAGACAATATTGAAGTAATGACTCCCATCTTAGACGGCCTAAGTCGTCTAGATGCAACGGATAATGACCACAGACAAGATAGACTACACACGGAACATAGATACGATAGATTACAAACAGACACTATCAGTACAGATACCCTTCAAACAGACGACAGCGAATGTCGCAGGAAAACTAGCAGGGCAGAATCTTCCGACCTATCATCCCTAAGGAACCTATCTACTAATGGCCTGATGACCTTCGATCCTCTCCTAATAAACGCAGCTTCTACTTCGACTACAGACAAACAAATTCCAGATCCGGATTTAGTTACTTCCTTGAACGAACAAGTGACCGAAATAGCGGATAGACTGTCTTCTATAATGACGTCAGATGTCGAACTTGAACATAGTGGGAAACATTCGTTTTCGACCAATGACGTGCCGTCGATAACTGACACTGAAACATTCGGTCTAGGCCCAAGGAGTGAGCAGGCCAGCTGTATGCCTTCTACTAGCCATGGATACCTAATACCGAACGCGATAAGTCATGAGCCCGTAGCTCTCTCTTTATCACATAATAATTCGGCCGTGTTCAATCAAGAAGACGAGACTCACGATACTAACGCTATGATTAATTCAGATCTCCTTATTATACCTGATAATATAGATGCAGAAATAGTGAATGCTAACATATCAATTGCTAATGCTAATTTAACTTCTCTACTTTTGACTAACGAAGAATTTAGGAATAGTTTTATAAGTGAAAACGTGGAAGGCGACAATGCTAGTTTCCATTCGGCGAAAATGACTTTAGACAGGGAAGAGGATGAAAAGGTTAAGTTTATGCTGGGATATGAGAGCGATCATGAATCTCCGGTTGATTCTGGAGTTAGTACTGAGAATACAAGTTTAGATAGGTCGCCGGACACCGATCAGAATAAGGATATAAAAGGCAATCACTTTATGCAACAGAACAGGGTATTAGAGAATCCCGATGAGAAGGAAGCCAAGAACACTCTAGAGAGCTCTTTTTCAGATGTAAATAATGATGGTTCTGTAAATATAAATTATGTTGAACAGTACACTCAGAAGAATGAAGCAGGCTCTTCAAGTATAGACGTTTTGAATAGGATATCTGATGAAGAAGGTTTGAATGAAGCGACTAATTCTAAGTTACAAGATTGGGGTGCTAATACTCCCCAAGAAGAGTTCAGGAGTATAGACGAGGTTATAACAGAATTGAGAAGACAAAGAGAGTCCGATATAAAGATAAGTACATTAGTCAATGACAATAATAGCACAGATGTGCCCACTCAGAGTACGTCGAGGAAAAAAACTAGAAAGAATGTAAAGAGCAGAAGAAAAAACAAGATGTGGTCTCCAGGCATGGTGATATTGGACAATAGATCGACGCAGAATCAGAATAATACGTTGAAGTTGAATTTGGACCATTTTGTTGATGAGAGGTAAGTAGTTTTTTTTGTTCACTTGAAATTTTATGAGTATATGAAGATGATTTTCTAGGAATGGGAAAATCTTATACCAAATATAAAATACAAAGTTTATCTTTGCAAAACAAGAAAATTAAAGGTAGTTTATTTTTTGTATTGTTATATATATTTTGTCTCTAAAATTACCAAGGCATCAGTTATAGTGGAGGATGATGGCATTTTTTTTGTGTTTGAGTGCCTTTGTCATTTCGAAATGTCGATTCACTTATTTTTTATGATCTAAATATTTCAATATATGTTTAATTTTAGCGGAACGTCTTGTGGTGCTTCGGAATGTGCTGACGATGAACAAATTGCGTTAGCTTTGCAAGCACAGGAACTGGAGGCGAGGCAACAGGCGAGAGGGAAGTTCAAGTAAGGTTTTTGCATGTCTATTCTAATATTATAAAGCTGAAGAGTTAGTTTGTTCTTTAGTTTGAACGCGCTAATCTCAGGAGGACGAACCAGTAGGGTTCGAATTGAAAAATTCTTTTTGTGTTGAATAGACCATTTATCGAGGAAGGCACACTGCAACTATTAGGAGCGAAGAAATAATGGAAAATGTAGAAAAAACGGGGAAAATTGTTCATTCTTGAGGGCATCCGTTGCGTGCGCTGCTAAAACGGTTCAAGATACCAAAAATATATGTATGAAAAACTATGCTATGATGACAGCAATCGATACCCAAATAAACAGTTCCCTACGGATAACGCGGGCGAAGCTGCTGGCGGAAAGCTAGTATTTTGTAAATGACATTGTGCAAATTTGTCATAATGTGTTCGAATTAAATTCAATTCATAATATTGATTCTACAATGTTGAGATTTTTTCTTTTGCGATAATGAAAATAGTCTATATCCCATATATTCATTTTTATTGCAGGTCAAGCGAAGATCTCATTCATCGCCTATTCGTGTGTATAGCTGGTGTAGCGGATCAGCTCCAGACCAATTTTGCTGCGGATCTGCGTAACATACTAAAGTCAGTGTTCCTTATGAACCAAACGCCGGAAGCGCCTGACACGCCGGAACCAGAAATCAAGGAGCCACCGCAGACCATAGAGTATGAGGCCAGTGAAGATCAGGTCATACAGAATGGTAATTATCTATTAAGGATTTTTATATGCAATTTTTTTATCTAATCACTCATATGCACAGATAGCCGGAGGTTGTTTTATTTGGGTTTTTCTAATTTTCGTGCTTATGAAGGTTCGTTAAGCCGTTTACCTACCATATCATCCGAATTATATCGGCAATTCCGCATGGTCATGGTATTCCTGTTCAAAGGGGGGCTTATGCCTCAACATTGAGGACATTACAGGCTGAAGACGAGGATGTAGTCTACTCTTAACGATAAATGCTTAAGATATCCACTTTGTCCGTGGCACTCTGAGTTGGGACTCCATGACCTGTCGCAATTTGAGCGACTGCTCTAACCACTGAGCTACTCAGGACCTAACAGGACTGACGAATTTTTCAAACACTTACTTTTTCGCTACTACAGGACGTATTTTACGTACCTACTAATGTTAAGGCAATCTACCCAAACAGCCGAAAAAAATATTTTTACAAATATTTAAATTTTCGATAGAGATGAAAATTTGTTCTGTTTATTTGTTTATTATGCAAAGTTGATCAAATATAATAATGACGTATTCTGTTCCTAGGGCAGGCGAAGAAACGAATGATGAATATTTCGTATTATGTGAGCGTTGAAAGTTAACGATACGTTTCTCTATCCATAGAACTCTATTACGTTTCCATGGAATACTGCTTATTGTTGGACGGGATGAGGTCAGCGACCCATCGTTTTTTGGACAACAAAATGCGCTACTTCACGGAAACTATGCACTGTTCTATGGCTAGGGATAGGTATCGTTTACTTATCTTTTTGTCTGCCTTAGGAACAGACTATAGATAAATACTGAGAAACACGTTTGCTTATATAGATATAGATGCTGATATAGATGCTTATATAGATTAACTATTTCTTTTTTAGGCAGCTCTTTTGATAGCGTATACTCAGCAGAGGAAGTTTACGCAGACAGTACATCGGAATCGACGCCGTCAGAATCGAACTCCAGACTGGTTCGTCGTAACACTGTGAATGCGGCCACTATGGCTGCTGAGCAAGCTGCGACCAGTGACAATAGAAGAAAGTCCGTTGATAACGCTAGCAATCTGCAAGCTTCCGTGTCTACAGGGGACCTCACTTACAGGTAAATAGGTTCATTTATGATAACAATGTTTCAATTAATAATACTTTGTTTGACCCTGTATATAATATATAGAGGTTTGTTAAGATGATGATACCGTGATTCTTTTCAAGGGTAAACAATTACAAAGTTAAATTGATCTTTATTCAAATAAACTTATTAAAAATATTTTTTATCATACAATTTTTTTAATTCACTTTAGATATTCACGCATTAATAGAAGTAAAAAAAGTAATTAACAGATCAATATTTATATCAACAAAACACGAAGGATTCCTTTACATTACTTCAAAATAAATTATGGCCATCGGAAACAGTTCAACCTCAAAAATTATCTACAATTTTTTACTTTATCGCAAGTATATAACGTCATTATTAAAAAAACGCGGGCGGGTATAAAAAACGTGTTCATTTTTTCGAAAAATATGTTAAAGGATCTTTTAAATTAAACATTCACAAGTATTATTTCGAACAGAGTAGAATGCCTTATTACGTACGTTGTCGGGTTGCAGCCGTGTATCGGAGTGTGGTGTGGTGGAGCGGGCGCCGGAGTGGGTTCCGGACATAGCGGCGCCGGCGTGCATGCGGTGCGCTGCACACTTCACGGCGTTCAGGCGGAGACACCACTGCCGGAACTGCGGTACCGTATATACAATTCTTTTCATATCGCACGGGTACGGTGACATTATAAAAAAACAGTTTAAATTTTTAATATTAAAACACAATAGGGTATTTGACGCTTTTCTGAAAACTATTTTAAATGGTTCTTTGATGCATTATAAATACACTGTCAATATATTTCATGAGAATATGTTCTATTTTTGATGAAAATAATTGCTAAAATTTAAAGAGCCGAAATCGCGCAAAAACGCTGCTCTATGTGATGGTGCGTGGTATTTGTGACGTCACATTTCGGTAAATATGTCAAGGCGACTTAACCTATTTATCAACTATCTATTTACGAAGTAAACAAATAGTATTACAGAAGAGAAATTGGTGTTAAATTTTATGTTTTGTATTTGTACCTACTTTGGTTTTGTTTATAAAAGTGAGCTACAAATTATAAGTATAAATACAAATTTTTCGTGACACTAATAACACTATTTTGACACGACAGAACATATTTTATCTGCAGATTCTAAGAATAACATTATTAGATTATTATCTAACAGGATGACCATAATACGTAACTTATTTTAAATAGTGTCAAATACCCTATTAGACAAATAATTTTCCAATAGCCATAACTAATGAAACGTAATCCTCTAAATATAAAAAAAAAATACCAATGCTTATAACGAAAATTTAATAGGGACTGAATCAATAAAATTGTTTAAATTGAAAAAATGTATTCAATAGGAATTTCACTTATTTTATAATAATATTGTTGTAGTAATTAAACTGATTATGTATTTTTCTGACTCGGGTTCATCTTTTTGATAAATATTTTTCTTAAATCCTACCTCAAAATCGATTATCGATTATTTTTATTACCACATCACTAAAAACTTATCTCAAACGTCACCGAACTCTTGTTATGTGAAAAAGACTACAGTGTAGGATAAATATGCGATGCGATTAGTGTATACAGTATGTGCGTGCGTGCTTGTGGGTGTGTATGTATATATGTGTGAGTGCGCGTGTGCGTTTGCGTGTGTATGTTGCGTACGTGTATTTTATCTATTTATCTTTACGTCTTAGGAATTCTATCATTAAAATCTGAGCATTAATATGCCAAATAATATATTTCATAAATTCAATATAAAAAAACTCATGGCAGCTGTCAACATTATTTTTTTGTATTGATGTTATGAAATGTGTTATAATAGATTGGGGGAAAAGTTTTTTCACATTTTATATGATTTTTTTAAATAAATTATTACATTTGATCAATTTCACATTCATAATGCTATACTGAATAATACCTATTCTTAATAAAGTTTATAAACATTTAACTAAAAAATGTAGGTACCATTTTGTTCGATAGCTCTTTGTCATCTTGGCAGTCCTTGTGTTGATAACCTGACACTGCCTAAAGAATTCTAAATAATTATAAATAGACCGAAACAGGTGGAAATCTGGAGGTGTAAGGTCAGGATTACGGATGCATTAACACTACCCAGCCAAACTATCTTAATTTTTGCTTAGTGGCAAAAGATGTGTGAGGTTCAGTATTATCCTTATGAAAAACCACACCCCTTCTATTGAATAATTCTGGCCGTTTTCTCTCAACTTCTTGCTTTAATCTCATCAGTTCGCAGTAGAGTTCTGAATCGATGGTCCTGTCTTCATTGAATAAAGAAAAAGAATATCACACGTTTTTCTAATTTGAACTCGGAGTTATCTTTGAAATTTAAACTTTTTAATGTTACCGAAACCATTCAAATACAAATAGTATAACCAGAAAGATTTAAATACAAGTTTATGCATACTATTTGCGAAAAGACTTTTCCCCAACATAATTTGACGTACGATTTAATGGTCAAATTAAACTGCCAAGTTCATAAAACATTACAATTGATTTATACAGGTAAAGTGTTCTGCGCTTCTTGCTCGTCTAACTCGATCCCTCTCCCCCGCTTCGGTCAGCTGAAGCCGGTGCGAGTGTGCGACGAGTGCTTCCGGAACATAGCCACAGAATGTCGCCGCGCCCCGCACAGGTGCTAGCTCGCTCACTCATTCGCTCACACGTTCATTCACTATCAATCTGTAGCCGTATCTTGCGAAATGTAACGCTCGACTGTGCTGATGCTCACTTGTTTTATATTAAGAACAGCCGATCGTTAAGTATGAAGGAGCAGTATAAGTAGTATAGCTTTTTTTTTCCGTCGACTTATCCTTTTCGCTCATAACTGCTTTTTGCTAGTGTGAAAAATAAAGCTTTATGCCTGTCGTCCACTAAGCGTCGAAAGATTTCGATTTTGCCATCGCATATCCGTTATTTTTCTCGCTCTAGCAAAGTGCAGTCTTGAACGACAGAAAAAGATACGGCTGCGGAAAAACACGATACCGAAATGCAAGATTTAGCTCAACTCTTATTGTATTCTTGATTGCCGACGAAATGTTGCTGTCCTTATTGTAGTTCTAGTGAGTATTGCCAGAAAGGAGTCCTTATGATAAATTCCATTATACCTCGCCGACCTCCAGTGCAGATTAACCAAAGTTAGCCATTTGTTTTAGAAGCTGGTTATAATGGTGACGGAGTGTTATCGTTTATGATTTGAATTTATTGTCTGTTTTTTGTTTATTTGTCGACGCGTGTTGTTTTAACTATTATTATCAAAGAAATACTAACTGTAAAATACAAAATATTTGGTTATAAATTTGATTGTTAGAACAGCACAGCGTTCGGTGATCTCTTTCTTTTATAGTGTCCCGTCCAATCTACTGTACAATATTTAAATTTGTTACGATACAGAAAAGGTAGTTTTTTTTAGTAAAAACAATTAATAATATTGACAATTTTAGTACTCGATAGACAGGTTTTCGAATAATAATCCCTTTATGATAAAAAAGTATATAGTTACTTGTTGTCTATCAATGTTTCTATTTAGGTATTTTAGACAATTTCGTTTTCAAATTAATATTTAAACATTTTATATCAGTACAAATAACAAAAACTTTAATATTTAAAAACAAGAAGTGTCACCTATACAAAAATGATAATTGGTCAACTAGCGTTGTGTTCAATATAATTTAGTATATTTTTAAAAAGAAATATTTAATAGCAAATCCTTATAACATTGGTCTATCTTAAACATTTTTATATGACAGCTTATTTAGACATTTTTAAAGGATTGTAATATTTTTATATAGAATAAAATGTTGCTTAACTCTATCAGTGGTATTAATAAACACAGTTTAGCTTCATGCTAAATTTTTGCTATAAATTGCAATTTTAGTATTAGTTCAAATTCATATTATATAGAGAATAAGTAAACCTACTACCTTCTCGGAGTAAATATTACGCTCGTAGAACCTCGTACTAGGTCAATCTTTGCTGTCTCTGTTTAATAATATTAATTTTGACTAATACAAAGAGAAGTCTCTGCGTAAATTTACTCCAACGCTAAACCTTGTTAATTAATAACACTGTATGCGTAAATGTTTGGCAACAACAAAAAAAAAACGTAACATAAAGTGGCGTTTACACCAATACTACACGAGATAGTACGGCGGGTTGTCTCTTATACGATTTGATTAATATAGGTACCTGTTGTTATAGGTACCCTTAAAGGAGAAGCATCCAAAACAAACAACAAACAAACAAAACCAGATACAGTAAATAAATTCTATACATAATTCTATATAGTACATACATTCTATAACATGACTTCTCAAGATCTCCCATTGGTCGATTTAATTATTACAACGTGTATCTCGTATAGCCTTTGGTGGAAACATACCCTAATTTTTTACTATTATTTTATTATGATCAACTAATCACTAAGATGTCTATTGGATACTTGTTCATATTATTTTCAATTCTATTAAATGACATGATACATATTAAGTATTTATATGTTTTGATTGATCTATGTTCATTAAATGCCTGTGTGTTTTAACGATTTCGGCAAAAATGTAAATAACGTACAATAAATTGTCGACACAATGTCATGAAACAAAAGAAGAATGAATCCTTCATCCGCCTTTTTAATATTGCCCCCATATTTTGAATAACAAATAGTATGTTAGAGTGAATTCTTCTTATTATACAAATATGAAACCTAATAGCATAATTCCAGCCAATGTATTGCATTATATTTAATTAATGTCTTTGCCTAACATTTTACACATTGCAAAGGGTGATATACTTAAAATATTTACCAAAAAATGTGACATAGATGTAACCACTTGCAATGATTGAAGTGTTTCAGGTTTAAATAAACAAATACCCCATTTATAAAATAATCTCGTCCACATATTTTTAAATACTGTTTTTTGCGTGATATTCAAATGTTATTCCAATAATATTTTTTAATATAATACGTAGATATATCAATCCTCTAGAATTATTTCTAAGATGTTATGAAAATATTATTTTTCCACAATGACTGATGTTTATTATTAATGATGACAAATTTATTTTTAGGTAGCTCTCTAAAAGTTGATTGTTACTCTGTCGACTTAGTGAAGATATGTGTTTAATAATAATCAAGTATATATTTGTATATTCTCAAATCTGTTTATTCGTTGAAATTAATAAATGCTTAGTGAAATAACACGGAAATTGTAATTTATTCTTCTTAAACACTTATGCAATGTTTTTAGTATCTAGAGTAATGTATTATATATAAAAACCAGTTGGGACTGTTATATTATCCAATAATATGATCCATTTAAGATCCCATTGGATAAAGTAAAAATATAGTGTACATGAGTCCTAATTACTCTGGTGTTTCAAAAATAAATTTATTTTTTAATCCGAATTAATCTTTGTTGTTTTTTAACAGACATGATAAATATTTTTAGATTTTATATAGTTATATTATTCATTCAACAGTATTTTATATGTCACAGTAAAATCAACAATAAGTTATTTTACACTTATCTTCAATGGTCTTAATTCGATGGTGTTTATTTTGTAATTTAAGTCGAATGGGATGATATATAATATAAAAAAGCTTTAAAATTAGTGAGGGTTTTCAGAATTTAATCAAAATGTGTGTTATTTCATGTAATAATATAATTTTCCACTTATATCATCCTATTTGGAAATTGGTTACTTTGGAATACGTTATATTACTATCCTGTCTTTGTCTTCTCTTCACTCTTTATCTTGACTTAAAGTAAAATAATTATTTTTATTTGCCATTAGATTGGTTAAAAACGATTTTACATACTTTCGAATTAGGTATTATATTTAAGTAAAAAAAAAAAGTTTTTCTTTCGTCTACATTCCAAAGTGACCAAACATTGTTGCTTTGACATCACTAGTGTTGTGATAAAATCTTTTAAATATTGATTGATTATGATTTGATCACAAGTTCAAATGTATATTGTCTATGTGGCGCAAGTGCCGTACTCGCCCCAAAATAACTTTCGCCTAGTTTAGCTAGTGACGTTCAAATTACTGAAACTATTTTTAGGAAATAAATTCTATTATTATGGATGTTTATATTTTTAACAAAATAAAAAAATCTTTTGAATGTCAGAATACCATTTAAATATATAAATGTAAGTTTTAAAAGATTCCATAGTTTTTATATCCATGTAGACATAGCAGTTTTCTTGTAAGCGTTATGTGTAAATTTTGTAAAGATTATAAATAGTAATCGACATGTATTCATATATCATAGTTTCTTTGTATATTAAATAGTTTTAAGAGATGTGTCTTTGACGTGTTTTGAAGCGATTATTCAACGTCAATGCGTATTCAAGTGATATACTGTTACATAATATTTGAATTGTGTAAATAAATGTCAGATTTATTAAGTAAAATCGGTGGTTTAATTTAGTTTAGAAATTTTCAAGATCGAATATATCTTTAAAATGTTTTAAAACCACAACAATATTGTTCTATAAAAAATAACTTTATTTATTAGTTATCTTCTCAATAAGTTTGTCAAGAAGAAAGTAAAAGTGGAGTTGCCTGAAGTGTTATTTTTCTGATACCATTCTTCTTTCTTCAACATTGACATCCAAGCGTGTATTTTAACATATTTCTCATTGATTGGAATTATAGAATTCAGTGAAGATGTTGTTGCTATACAAGACAAATCGGCTACAGTCAGTTCATCAGTTGCAATATATTTTGAAGCTTCCAGGTACTTTTCTGTGACGTCGTAGGCTTCAATTATATCGTTTATATGGTATTCTGTTAAACCAGACGTTCTCCTTTGAGTAATATCATAAATTACTCTGCGAAGTCTTGGAAAAAGAACAGTCGCATCGAAATATAAGCGCTGATCGACAGTACACCTTACTTTTATGTCTTTAGGGTACAAATTATCATTGTCATATTTTGAACACAAATATGTCATGATTGCATGACTGTCCACTATTCTGTAATCGTCATCTTCTAACATGGGAATAGTATGGAGTGGGTTTCTTTCCAAATAATCAGGTTTGTAATGGTCTCTCATAGGTAGATTAACTTCTTTGAATTCAACTTCAATTCCTAGTATATCTATAAGCATCATTGTAGCTCTAGTCGGCGGACTGACAATGGATCCATAAAGAGTTATTGGCATTTTGGTCTCTCTTTCGATTCTCTAGATAGTGTTTTTGTTAAGTTCAATGTTTCCTATTTATAAGATTGTTATGTTAGATTTCTACTGTATTTTTTAACATAATCTTTGATGTTAATAGATATTATATACGCTATCGTCGCGTTTATCGAATCTGTTATCTATATATATACAGATAAGGTGAAATATTATCAATAGTTTAATGATAATTTATTATAGGTACTCTAACCAAATTAAGATTTGACAACGTATGTACGTTTTGCTTTGTAGAAAAATGTTTAGGCAATTACTTACAAGCACTGCGGACGTTCTTGGAGACTTAAGTATCACAGAACAATATTACTCTCCGAGCTTAACTATTGTGTATATTTTTATGAGTTTGTATAATATAGATCACAAAATCGTAGAGACATGCAGAGTGTACGCTTAAAATAGTTAAACTAAATGAGTGACATAGCGACGAGCTTACCGTTTGCCAATACATAATATGAAAGTGATAAGTAAAATGATACCTATTTGTTTTTTTATTACGTCAATCTGTAGGTCTAACGTGTTAATCGATTGACTTCGATCTGGTTAGCATCGGATTCAATCAAAATGCCACTGCCAATTCACTTTTGTATCATGTTTTTGTTTAAGCATTATGATTGAATGTTCGACTGAGAAGTACAATCTCTACGATCAATATGTGTGAACAGACCATAAGATAAAAGGAATAAAAATTAACCAAAAAGAAAAAAAAAACAGTATAATATGATATCTCAAAAGGTAAACAGTAATAAAAAATAATATCTTTTGTTTTTAATGTATTACAACCTTTAAAATTCGGTAAAATTGAGTGAATTGGATATGCCCACGCTTTAATAAGTTTCACGTTTTAATGAAAAATTTATATTCAGCAATGAATTCCAAACATTTTCCTTATTCGATTTGTGCGACACCGTGAAATTTATGATCGACATAATTAAAATTAGCATGCCATGTCTGCTAGTCATATTGATTTTGTTTTGAATCATGTTATCCATGAAAATAGACGCTGTTTTTTTAATTTTAATAATATTACAGTGTGAGTTGACTTTAGATTTTATCAAATTATATATTCACTCACATCTGATTCACTTGTAGTAGAGAGGTGTAGGTAGAGAGAACCGAGATCTTCACGGAGCGGTCCTAAACTAGTTTCGCTTTCGAACTTCTTTCGCTTCCTTGACATTCGTGAAAGGTAGGTACGTCTTGACCTTGCTCGGTATGCCATCATACTTCGACTTTTGTTTTATTAGAGTAAGTAAATCAGTTTCATCATTCTTTCATTAAGCATTTCGTTGCATGTTAGAACCCTTACTTTTACGACACACGGTTCTCCTAAATTCTGTCTTAAGATCTCATTTCCGCTGCATTTTGGTATTTTATTTGTATGCTCTCTGATGTAGCCAATAGAGATGAAGACTGAGTAAAAAAAAAAGAAAATCTATTTATCCGTCAGTTAGACGATAATTGAATATTGGAAACATTTTTGATTGATCATCGCCATCTTTCATTCGTTTCATTTTCATTTTACATGTAGAAATTAATTTATTCACTTGATATTGGCAGAATTGTGCGAAATGCGCAGATAAGCCATTATTAAAAGAAGAAGAAGGAAACGTTTTATTAGCATCTTCTATTTAACAAGAAATAGCTTAGATAATCGTCATTAAAATCGGAGAGTGGGGGCTCGCTACGTCACAACAAAACAACGTACAAAGTTCATGCGACATTTTAACTTTGTATCGCCGTAATTAATGATTTCGCAAAATAAAGAAAAATACGAGACGAGACGGACCGATAAACAAAATTAGTCTTCAATTCATTATCTTTCTGTCTAAAGGTATTGCTGTCAAAGAAGTTTTCTTCACATTCATTGCACCATATCTCCTTTTTACGGTACGGGTGTATAAAATAAATAGGTATTTAATGCAGTGTTACGAATGGTTTATTACAGTATCAAAATCACAACGTAGAATATCTTCAGGTCAGCAAGTTCAAACTGTGAAATCATACGTAGTACGTATATATTTTGATAGTATTACATGATTTTTTTCATCTTCCGTAGCCGGGTGGTTCGCAAGCCGGTTTCAAGGTGTAGCCATCTCTGAGGTCCCGGCTTCGATCGTTCAATGTAGAATATGAAGTTTTCTATATTTTCTCGGGTCTGTGTGTTGTGATACAGTCGCTGTCTCAGATACTCTTTTGGAATCTAAGCAATGTATGTGATATTGTCATAAATTTATATTTCCTAATAATTTGACTTTTTAAATATAAGTTCGATATTTAAAAGGGCCCTCCTTTTAAATATCGAACTTGGAAGAAAAAATATTAGTTTAATAGGTTTTAAAGACTTATTACCAAAATAAATTGCTAGAGGAGACTGCTAATTAACCCAGTCTAGTCAAGGGAACCCTCCCTTGACTTGACTCAAGCATAACTACTTTGTTTTGTGATATTAATAATTTAGGCGTTAAATGAAATGTTCAGTGCCGCCCAGTACTTTCAGATCCCAAAAGTATAATTACAGTGTTTTCAGCTAAAAAATACAATAGTATCTATAAACAGTAAAGCAGATATCAACGTTTGTTACAGTAAAATTACGGGAAAACATAATTTAAATAATAAATCAAAAAGTATACTACTTTATTAGTTACTAACTTTCCGGTAGCGGCTTCACCCGCATCGCATGGTCTTGTATTATACATAAAAACCTTCCTTTCTTCCTTTTGAATCACTCTATCTATGAAAAAAAAATCGCATCAAAATGAGTTGCGTAGTTTTAAAGTTTTAAGCATATGTACATAGGGATATAGGGACAGAGAAGGCGAGTTTGTTTTATACGTTGTAGTGATTTATAAACTCTGTATAAACACTCAAAAACTGATTTGTTAATGATTTTTTGCGGTCAACCTTGATATAATAATGTCAAGATAATAAACCTTACTGGGATTAAATAAGGAGCAAGTTTTGGAATTTCGATGTATGGAATGTGAGCTAACATTATTATCTTTGATGGTGTTTGTCACATGTTTGTAATCGGACAATTGCTCTGTTCTAATCTTATATTACTAATTCACTAAAATTGATCACTAAACGACTCTTGTATTTTTAGAATTTAAGTTATTGAACATTAAATACCTACAGCATATAATTCATAAACTGTAATTTTATCATTAGAGTATACAGTAAAAGTCTAAAATACAGTAGATCTATTGTAATTACAGTGAATCTGGAAGCACTGACAACTCCGGCAGACACGAATTAAAAAATAAGAAAGATTGCTGCTTATTCATGGTAGTGGGTAGGATGTTTTATGTATAAAGATGATTCTTACTTTCTAAATTTTATTTGAAAAAGGGTTTTGAATGTGTGAGTATTATTCTATGTGCTAAATAGGTTTGTTGGTCAGACTATATGCGAAGTTCATGCTATTCGCTATTCTGCATAGTAACATTATGACATAAAAATATCTGACCAAAAGATTTTTACCGGTTAAAATTATGATTTCCTAATTTTAACTCAAGTTTTTCGTTTATTGCTTTAGTCAAATTTAGTTATGAGTAGATACATTTTCAAGTAATGCAAAAGTCCCCTCACAAACAAGAAACAATCGGTCGTAGGTTCTCTCCATGTTGGATTTACCTTAAAGGCCATAAGCAGGTCCGGGCTTAGGGCGGGCAGATATTAGGCCAATAAATAGTTTAGAAATAAAATATTGTGTGCTAAACGCTGAATGATGAAATACCGTTTATTTGTATATTTACTTGTTTATTAAAAACAACATCTTAAATTAATAAAATTAATAAATGACATACTGAGCTGGGTTGGGAATGGAATGAAAAGAAGTGGAGCATGTTTTATTTTGTGTAACAGTTGTGACTTACTGTAGAATTAATATAAAAACACAACATTAATATAATATTAAAAATTGGAGGAATAAGAATATAATAAGAAATTGAAAAATTGTGTGGCAAAAAAATAACGCTGCTTCATATACCTTGTTCGAAGGAGCATGAAAAATATTATGTCATATCCAAATAAAAAAAAAAAACAGTTTTTACTATTATTAAAGTAATTTTACTATTTTTAAGATAGTTTTTAAAGTAATTCGACACTGTTTCTAGGAGCTTGTCGCTGTAGGGCCCTATCGCTCTGTGATGGAGTATATAATTTTAGATGGGTGATCAACGGCCAGAGGTAGGTAGATGAAAATGATTAGATAACGTTAGATTCACATTTCTAGGTATATCTCAGCAAAGCTGACAAATCCGTAAAAAATTATGACTACTGGATATGTGGAGGTGCTATAGTAAGTAAACTGCATATTATTACCTCTGCCGCGTGCGTGCAAGACGTCCAGCATATGTATGTTATACCAGGATATGCGAAATATGTGCCCAATGATAAGTTAGAGGATGATATATGTTCCAGAGAATTGAAGAAGAAGATTATATACACTTGTGTTCCGAAATGTGAGTATAGTTACCTACATTTGCGGTTATATTTTGGAAGATCTCAGTTATAGTTTCCTTCTTGTTCTTATATCTATGTCGTTGTACATTTTGAAAGTCATTATTGTGGGTATTTCGAGATCAATTTGGTATTTCGACTCAAAAAGTGACATGTTTGATTAATCAACTTTTTTTTTGTTTCTGACTGTCCAACATATTCGATTTTTTTTAAATTTAACGTATAAGAACCAGAACAAATAAAAAAAAAAAATTGATAATTCGGGAAAAAACTAAAACATTCGGTAGGACCATCGCTATTTTTGTTAATTTTTAGCTGGTGACTCAAAAGACAATTTTTATGCTCCATACTAATATTGACTGTCCCAAGAGCCATACGAGTTGAATATCACGCCATAGTTAAATATAGTCTTTTTTATGCCCTCGCCAGTAAAAATAAAGTAAATAATTTGCATATATTGTTGCATCTTATATATATTTAATTAGATTATTGACAATTGCTTCTTAATTTTGTCCCTTGCAAAATATATATATTGAAGTCCCCTTGCTCACTTAACATAAAGTAACGCGCAGTTGAAATGCGAGAGAGTGGACTAGTCTAATCAATCACGACACGTCCTGATTCTCACGTGATCAAGTTAGTATATCTATACAATAAAAAGTTGATTCACCTATTTACAAAATGACAATAGTCTGGTAAATTATCGTTTGGAGATATCTTTCACAAAACTTTCTAACTAAATAACTGAAATCAAGCATCAAATCAAGCCCGGCAAGCATCTGGCCAATTATATATCTAAAAGTCCAATCATTGCAATGTGTTCGTCACACATCAATGACAGATATATAATAATATTGCGCTTCAGGTAGATAGTACAATAGCAAAATGAGGAAGTATTAAAAAAAAAATACATGTTTAAAAGTAAATTAGTTTTCAAAACATAATAAACAACTCATATTCTATTTTACTTTTTCGTATTTGTATTGATATCTAAGTTTCGAACTTTTCAAATTTCAGTTTTTTAGTATGTTAGTTAAAAGGAAATGACTGTTTTTGGTCCATTCGTTTCCTGCAAAGCACTACTTTTGTTAGAGTCGCCATCTAGTGGAGGTGCTTTGTTAGTGCTTTCGTTTTTTTTTAAATACTTCTTCATTATAATGTAGACATTTTGAAGTATTGGCCTGCTGCAGCACGCTGGCACCACTTTGGGGACGCTGGCTTTGTCTGTAAAGATATTTTAAAAAATGTGGACATTGCTTAAAAAGTACTAGACATTTGCATTATTATTATGAAATTTAAATATACCTATATCAAGAGAATAATATTAACATCCTAAAACGACGATGTTTTTATATGAATAAGCATTTATTATTCAATGTATCGCATAAAGTAGATAAAACATTGACATACCATTTGATTACGCTATGAATTTTGTCGTAAGTTTATTAATTTAATATATTTTGCACAGGTCGCATCGGCAATGCCGCTCTCAAGCCTGTTAGGCTGCCGCTAGTTTTGCCAGATCCGTTTTGTTTTAAATTGGGACACAAAGTTCAATAAACCGGGATTCAGGGTTATAAACCGGGACAAAGAAAAATAATGTTTTTAACCGACTTTAAAAATAAGATTATCAATCACACTTTTATTTTTTACAAGTTTTTCGTAGTAAATAATGCAGTCGTTGATTTATCGGAACATATAACATAGAGTCCTGATTAGGTGCAAATCGGGATGAGTCTCCAGATCCCTAAAAATCGGGGCGTCCCGCATAAATTGGTACACCTAGCCGCCGCATTGGCACCACGGCTGCGTGTAGCCTTTAGACAAGAAGTAAATAGGTATAAACAGTTTTCTTTTAAGCAACGGCGTTGTTTGTTTTATGGACTAATGCCCTTAAAAAGTTAAACTCGTATCATTTCGAGAAAATGTCCCAAAACGCAACTATGCTCCAGCAGTTTCCTGCTTGAGTTTGTGTTTGTAAAAGTGAGCAGTGACTGTAATCGAAACTGAGGAAAGACAGGCGACATTGATTTCTCTTGATCCGTAGTTTACTTACAACCAACAAACTAAAAGAATCCCAAAGTATATTTTAAAGGTTGGATTGGATTTGATGCATCCTCTGCTGGTACAGTTCTTCCATATTCCTAAAACTCGTCAAATATGAGAAAATTTTATCGAGATTTGTAAATGTTACTTAATATATTTCATAAATTTCATTGCAGCATATGAATTGGATTATGCTAAAATAGAAAAATGGGCGTATATCGATATTGCGGTTGCCAAAGTTGATTCTGAGTTTGATTTCAACGATACACATTATGAAGACTGTTGTTCCTATAAACCCTCGGCCATAGAAATCAATTACTTTGCTAAGTATCAGGAGCCTAACGCGGATGCTATTGTCTTTGGTTGGGGACACGCGGAGGAATGGAGAAAGGTTGGTGATTATTCATGTTTACATATAATTACAGTAAAAACTAAGGACCTCGGACCACTGTGATTTTATCACACGAAACGGAAACGATACGAATCGCGGCCATACAGAGAATGCTTAGTACAAGGTTTTTGGACGTTTACGTTCACCGTCGATAGTGAGCACATCGAGATTTTAGGGACTGTCCGCCTTGAGATTTTTAATCGCGCGGATTATAATTCGCAATGACATAACACCTTGTTCGCATTGAATTTAAAATTCCGCGCGATTTTTATCAGTTTATTGGCTCACGGTCGAGACGAACGTCTAAAAACCAAGTGCGACTAGGACTCATGCACGTAAGGTTCCGTACGGGTAACCAGCAAAAAAATTACGTTCGTTGTATGGGAGCCCCATTAAATATTTATTTTATTTTTTGGTATTTGTAAATCTCACGGTTCTTGAGATACATGGTGACAGATAGACAGAGAGCGAAGCCGTAGTAATTGGGTTCCCGTTTTACCCTTTGGGTATGGAGCCCTAGAAATTAACTACAGAACAATTTTAATATGTTAATTTGTTTGGTTCAATTCAATGTATATTTCTTCCGTTCTTCTTCTTCTTCTTCTTCTTCAATTGCCTGTCATGGTAGTTTGCCTGAAATTTGTCCCATAGAGGAGGCCTATTTTGAATTGGCATTATAAATATTTCAATATCAATTTAACGCGTCACATCTTTCCACCGCTAGTACTGATGCACGACCGAGCAATTGCGAAAATCTGTAGTTTAGTAAACGCGATATTTTTTGGCGTGTTTTTTCCGCAAGTGGGGATATTCCCATATGATTCAATGTATTACAGAGTTGTGATAATAAATTCGCGTGAAATAAAATCGCGATGCAGATAGTCCCTCAGTATGGAATTCGGTACAGCGCCTCTAGCGGTAACCAAAAAAAATCACAAATCTCCATACTCCTTAACAAATTAGAGTGTCTGCAGAATATGTGTATTCGATTTATTTTTAATCTTCGCAAATATGACCGTGTGTCGCACTTCCGTTCAAAACTTAACTGGCTCCCTATTGCCGGCGCAGGGACTTACTTACACACTCTTACGCTTCTCTACTTTATTCTTTTTTTGCCCATGTCTCCACCCTACTTAATTTTTTTTTCCTTTCGCAACTCCTCATCTAGATCACAATGTATTCTGCGTTCTGCCTCAAACGTAAAACTTGATATCAGTTCTCACTCCTCTGACTTCCTATCCTATTCTTTTTTGTTCGAGCTGTTCGGCTTTGGAACTTGTTACCATAAAATATTAGGAAGGTTCGCACTTTGCGATCTTTCGTCGCAGAAGTAAAATGCCACTTTTAACTCTTTTTCTCATGTACATTATCTATTTTTCTCTTTTATGTATATCTATTTAATTCCTGTCGCTATTGTACCTACTCCCCGTCATCATTCATTATTATTTATTTATGTTTCTATATTACCATTGGTTGCTCTGGAAGAGATTGCTGCATAGCAATAAGGCCGCCTTTTGTATACTGTTTGATCTTTTTGTTTCTTTGTAATGAGTCCTATATTTGTGCAATAAAGAATATTATTATTATTAAATCCTTAGCGCGCTTACTATTGAAACAACACTTACCACTCAGCATTGTACATCCTACGTTTGATATGCGGGACAGTAGTACAACAAAACGCAGTACTTCGTGTAAATTATATACATTGTCCGTTTTTCGCGTTTTACGTTTGCCTAAGGAATAATTGCTTTAATTACCATATCATGCATCTTGTTTTTGTTGAGTTTTCTACATTTCGGCGTTGTTGCAAACGCCATGATCACGTGATCGATACCCGTATCGAACAAAAAAGGGCTAGAAAGACGGTAGATAGATATATCTGTCTATGGCACCCACCCGCAAAAATTAATTACTCCATAATCATGGCACAGCACACGCAACAGCGCTGAAATAGCAGGAATTCAAACAAGGTAAACAGGCTATGGGTTATATAATCGTGTCGCTTTAATCTTCTGTACTGGTGCACCAGCGAGCCATATTATTATCTAATATTTTATTAAATTTACACTCTTCATTTTACTTACTGATACTATATTTCTGGGCTAAATCTTTTACGATAGGATGTGATATTACTTTCAGCCCGAAGATAATAAAGACTACAACCAGAAGATGTTACATTATGCAACAGCGCTCATACAGAAGAAAGAGATATGCAAAAATTCATTTGCAAATTTTCCGCAGCTCTTACCGATTATTGATAAATACATGATTTGCACTAATGAGAGCGGCAATTTAGATGAAAAAGGTCATCTCATTAAACCAGCAAAGCTTGCTGATGGCTGTTCAAGAAATACTTATCATTTGCGTCAAGAAATAGAGGTGATTCCAAATTATTTATGTATATGGCTAGGGTTTTGAGATCCCTATAAATTAGACGTAAGATTAACGTTCATATGTCAGCACGCACGCACCGGCCGCACGACACGCAACGGATTCTATTAAAAATTCCTATGATATCATCAGCATAATTCCGACGTTAAAATTGACGGTCGCATTTTTCATAGATGCTTCTATGACGTGAGATATTGAAAAATCCGGACAATGCGTTGCGTATCTTGCGGTGGGCACGCGCGTACCTACTGAGGCAGTGGAACAGAACCTTTAAGTTCCGTCAAGCATCTCAAGGAAGTACGCGTTATTTTTCCGCGACGAAATTTACGTCTAGTGTGCATGTTAGATTGTCATATCATATAATTTGTCAGTACTTGACGTTCTGCAACTGACGAGACACGATGTATCTTCCATTAAATACCCTTAAGGCTTCTAGCAAATCACTATCTAATGGAAATAATATATTATACCAAATTATAAGTAACATAATAGCGGCAAAATCGAAATTCCTCATCGGTAGAAATCATTTTATATAGGTTTACACGACTTTGAAAAGAAAAGGGAGCACTATTTATCTTTCCTATTTAACTTATATATCTTTCCTTTTTTTTCAAATAAATACAATTTGTCCCTGAACTTCAAGAAATTTAAAAATGACGCTACCATTTTCGAATTTTGGGCTTAGCAACAGATTTAGTAATTTATTGCTATTCGTACAGATAATTTTTACTCAATGTTTTCATGGAAACAGTCACTAAAGTAGTTCGGTAGATCTTGAAAATATTGATAATAGCTTTTCCCAGCGGCTTCGCCCGCGTGGTCCCTAAGGAACTGTGTATCTGGAGATCGCTTCACATTATGACGTCATGGTAAGAGACGATTAAAATTATAATGTCAAATTGAATAGTAAACAATGGTTACTATGGCAACGTTTAAATTCCCTATATAAACTTCCACTCCCATTTTCATCCCTTTATTTGTTGTTTTTCGGGATAAAATACAGCCTATGCTCACCGCATATGATGTAGCTTCCTTAACTTAGGTTAGTCAAAGAATTTTTCAAATAGGTCCAATTGTTTCGGAGTCTATTCCATGCAAACAAACAAACAACTCTTTCCTTTTATATGGATACAGATGGTGTAGTGAATATCTTAGATCACATCATTTCATTGCGTCTTCACACATTTATTGGCTCAATAATGTTCAAATCCAAAACACTGCGAAATATCCACTCTAAAAATCTCAAGTTACTTTTTTAGAACAGTAAAAGTTTCCTCTGAAGAACATGAATAGTATTATATACAATATTTTTACGAACCTTCATTAGCAGCGATCTGGTCATCAATTCAGTTAGGGTGTTTAAAAAATGTGTTAATGAGCCTTGGCGTTTGGGAAAGATGTACATATACATGATCAGGACAGATCCAATTATCTCATTTATAGCATGGTTGATATCATTAACAAAAGTTTTACAGTAATTTCCTATATAAAATCGATTCATTCACTGAACTACATAAAAGGTACTAATAAATATGTAGTTGAGAATAAACAATTAACATTTGTCGGATACATCAATAACTTACTGAGAGACAAATACAAGCAAACACACATATAGTTGGTAATTCTTTCTAATTAAGAATCATATCATATAATCATAAGAAAATATTATAATAGTTTCGATAAGTATAGGAACTTACAATAATTCCTATATATATCGGTATAGTTCCTATATTTTCGCGACGCAAAAAACTAAAAGTGAAATTAATTCTAAAAGTGACGTAATTTAATACATACATACGTAATTTAATTTACAGTGTGATGATGACTATAATATATTTTCGAAAGAAACACGTAGGTCTGATAAGAATGTAACAACACACGTTCTGGAAACGCAACCGAGCCGAAAACAAGGCATATGCCAGGTACGTAACATTTATAGAAATACTGTGTATTTCAACATACAGGTATTGTTTCAAAATTTTAACGTTTCTGTTTTATGTATTCTGCGACAATTATATTGTCGAATGTGCGATTTGTTATGTTAATGGTACATGCAGCCAGTTGCACAAATGTCCATTAAAATTGTCTTTAGTTTAAAGCGACATTACCGATACAAATTTGACATTCATCAGAGCTTAAAGGCGTTATTAAACCTTAATGAACGTTTGTGCAACTGGTTGATTATCTATCACTCGTAGCATGATATACTCGAGAAACTATTTGTCTTCATCCGACTGTCATTTATTTTTCGGATATACCCCTACAATGAATCCGAGAAACTAATCGAGAGCGAGATAGATCTCGATTTGTTTCTCGGATTCGTTATGCTGCAACTGTCATATTTCTCTAATTCATTTTAAGCATTAATTCATCGACAGTTTTAAAATTTGTTTTGGAAATTTGATATTTCAAGACAAACGGACGTGTTGTATTGCTTATTTTGTGAAAGTGAGTCTTATAACCAGGTACTTACAGTGGTGAGAATCAATAGTTGTATCTTATATTTGTATCAACTATATTTTAGAATGACCACGGTGGTCCTCTGGTGAGATGGATAGGCTCCAAAGAGATGCTCATCGGTGTGGCGTCGGTATTCGGAGTGACAAAAGATAATAAATGTACCGGACCATACTTGTTCACCAGCACTCAATGCAACAGTCTTTTCTTAGACTGTGTAATTAATGAAAACAAGTAAGTGACAAACATATAATATGGATTATACATATGAGTCCATTTATAAAATATAAAACACTATCTTTTTTATTTTGTATTCTATCCAATTATAGCAATATAGGTGAAGTGAAGTGAGTGAATTTCTCTATCTGGGATCGATGTTTACGAGAGACGGGAAGTATGAAAGTATATAGAAAGTCGAGTGAATGTTGGAAATATGGTGAATGGAGCCTTACACTCCTTCATGGCCAGCCAGAAGATATCTAAGAAGGCTCAGCTGTACATGGCAGAATTTAGGTTCGAACATTGACGTATGGAAGTGAAAGTTGGGTATGGCAGAAACAGCATTAAAGTAGAATAAATGCAGTAGAAATGAGAGCACTGAGAAGTATGTTTGGAGTTGAGTGACAGAGTTCCAAACAGTGTGATAAGATGTGGCATGAAAGAAGATATATTGACAAAGATTGAAAAAGGGATGCTTGGATGGTTTGGCCACATTGAAAGGCGATTAACAAAGCAGATATAAATAAGGCGAGTGTGACACGGAATAGTCGAAGGGGAAGACCTAGACGAGTGTACCGTGATCAAATCACGGAGTTATTAAAGAAAGGCCAGGTCAAGAGTAACCTTAACCGGCGTTCTTGTATGAAAAATTTGATGCGTACGGAGGAGGCGAGATAGGTATGACATTATCGTGCAGAATGGAAGGAGGTCGTCATGAAGGCATGGCGATATAAATATGTATAAATTCTCAATGCGTCAGATTAGAAATAATCTACAGAACGGTCACCAGATTGCAAGGAGAAGTTTTTGTTTTTGTTCTTTTAATTATTCATTCGATTTGGGCAATCGTGTTTTTTCCTTTATTTGTGAAAGTACGCTTTACAATTTTTTTGATTTTATATAATTTATTTTATTGCGGACAGAACAAGAAGAACTATATGCGATAAGCCACCAATAGAAAGGGGATTCGATAAAATAGAAAAACACATATCTTGGATGAACCATCCCGACGGGTAAGCTATGTAGGGATATATTAAATAAATGAATATTAAACAAGTTGCAAGCTTGGAATCTGTGAAAAGTGGTTTAAGAACACTTTTTTTTAATTTATGAAAAAATCACTTGTGATAAGAAATATATGATGGTATGTCATTATAATTAAATAAAACATGTTGTAATTTTTAATATTACATATGTGTAACTAATTAAATATTGTGTTAACAATTTGTTATTACGTTTCAACAGAGTAAATCTTGAGAGAATATTTATGGTTATAGTAAATTAATTAGTACAAAGAATAAAACAGAACCGCGTCCCGCTGCCTGTATGCCGAGTTCTTTTAAAATACACAACGGATTTGAATGCAGTTTTCAATAATAAATAGTGTTAAGTAATGTCCTTTGATAATGTCTGTGGTTATCAGTTTGTATATATTTATGATCGCTAGATGGCGATGACGTTGCGTGCCCTATATGTGACACATTACATATAATTTTACATTGCATATGTAAGTTATTTAGTTATCGGGCTCGAAGGACCATGTAAAATCCCAAAAAGTCAAAATGTAATAAAACACAATTCTATGGTAAAGGTTATTTATTCAAATAATCGTTAGAGTATTTGATAAAATAATTTACATATGCAATTATAGGTATGTAACGTATCACATATGTATATAGGGCACACAAACGTCATCGCCATCTAGCGATCATAAATATATACAAACTTACAACCACATGCATTATCAAAGGACATTACTTACCAGATAGAGTGATTCTAGAGGAAGATTAATATTACTTATAATACAGGAACACGCGGGCCAATCCACTAGTGGAAAGTTTGTTTGTAATAAAAGATGCTGTGTTAGGCTTTGGGTTTAGTAATACACGTTATTTTTCAGACCAGCTGCAAATGAAGTAGTGAGGATGAGACCGCAACGTCCTATCAGAACTGGCCGACGTTAAAAATGTGGAATATATATGCCTCCGTTTAGAATATTAGAGTAACATATGTGTTATTATTATTAATTGTAAATCGAGCTGGTATAGAATTTACACAACGAATGTGCATTTTTTTAAATTATAAATATATCTCAAAATCTCAGAACAATATTTCAGTTTTTTTCTACAAGAACTCTGTTGGTAGAATTGCCGGTTATGACAAGGACATATTTGATGATTCTGAAAATTTTAAAGTTTATCCCGCTGTTTTAATTTTAAACATAAAATGAAATAACAATTTTAAAATACCCTTGACATAAAAATAACATTATAAAGTAGAAAAAATTGGCTATAAAAAGGGAGCTAAAAGAACTTCATATTTTTTAAAGTGTTTTTTGGGTAGGAGTTTTTAAAATATTATTTTTTTTCAAATTTCTTAGAAATAAACAATATCTCAAAATGATCTGAACGAAAGAAGCTATCGATTAAAAAATAAAAAGACTTTTTGCCGACAGGATGTAAAAAAGAAATAACTATTATCTGTCTCGGTCGAAAAATAAATTAAATTTCTAGTGAATCACTTTTTTAGTTCATAATTAAGCACAAAACAATCACTAGTTAATCTTAATTACAATCAGTATCGAAAGCTAATCAGGTCTTCTTTCGCCATTTAATTTTACTCTAATTCAGATACACAATAAAGGTTCAAAACTATAAAGCTGAAACAAACAATATAATAGGTTAGGAAAAAGTTTCTTCGCATTTTATATGAAAATTCATACATTTTTTTAAAAGTTTATTTACCAACTAATATCCAACTTTTTTGTGTATCCAGCTTTTTTCAAATGCGCCAAAACTATTTTGTTGTCAATCCCAAGTTACTCAGCTATGCCATAATTACTGATATGATAATCTTGTCCCACTTTTTCAAAAATAGCATGGAGCGACGTGTATATTTGACATCAAAATTTCCAGACTGAAAACACTTAAACCAAATTTGTGCTATTCTCACATAAACTGTACTAGTTCCATAAACATCACATGTTTTTTTTACGTGGTTTGTTTTGCATTCTTGCCTTTTTTCTTATAAAATTTTGAAATGTATCGAATTTCTTCATTAGATTCACTCATTTTGTCTGTAAGAAAAACAAATGAAAATTACACATATTCCCAATTTGGATTCGGCGTTATCTTCTTTAAAATTTAAACTTTTTAATTGTACTGAAACCAGCCAGATACAAATTGGATAGCGAGAAAGATTTTATTAGAAGTTTATGCATACTATATGCGAGAAGACTTTTTCCCTAACCTAAGAGATATGACGTCTGTGACGCTATCCGATGCAATCCTCAGATTTATATAAAACATAAGCTTTATATATTATAAAAATGTATTGCAGAAAGAAGTTTTATATTAAATTGACATTACGCTGTGTGTAAGATTGAGGTTCCTTGATTGTAGTCATAAAATAATGTGACGGTTTATAGTTGTAGTTAATGGGTTGGAATACTCAATAGAAATAAATAAGTACAAAAATATGGAATTTCATTTCATTTTGAATTTCTAAAATGATCATTGTGATATGAAATTCACGTGATCTGAAAAGCTGCTGCGCTATTTTACTATTTTCTTTGATTTTACTGCTATTTTAATACAAATAAGTGACATCACAACACACTTCCAGGGCTACCAGAACTATCTGAAAATAAAAGCTACCAGAACTATACACATTTATTCAACTATACAAATAACTGGATAACAATATACCGGATATAGCATTACTACAAACTGAATACTCATAAAACTATGACTGACAGAACTCTCTCAACTTTCATTGACTCTACAATAGGTACACTGGACGCTTGCGATAACATTGAAATAGGAATTATAAAGATGAAACCTTTTCGAATATTACATATCGAATTCATGCTTTAGTTAACTGTACCGAAATGTATTTTTTAATACGAAATTGCAGAGATAGCGGTACTTCATAACTTTAGGTATGTATCCGTTTTTCTTGCTCGATTTTCATTTCTTTGAGTCTAATGGTCGGTCCATACTACAACGATTTATCGCAGTGATTTGACTGAAATAAAAAGAATAAAATAATATAAAACATTATAAAATTGGGCGATGCATATATTCTATGTTAGTTTTACGTTTATTATTAAATAAGTTATCTATATGTATATTATTAAGTGTGTTGTTATCGTATGATGTATACCCACTTTTACTTCACTCATACTCCAGTAGCTTCCATATCGCAGCCGCAACGACAGCTTTCCGTATGCTTTGGATCAACTAGTCGTTTCATTTTTTTATTCATTTTGAAAATGAAAACAATAATTACAATTCTTTTCTATTTCAAATATTACGATCTGCATAAATATATACGTAGTATAGTCGTTATTGCTGAGTCTTTTAAAATTCGGTGAAATTATTGGTTAAATTGGATATACCCTCGTTTTTATTAAGTATTCATGTTTTAATCAAAATCTGTATTCAGTAATGAATTTCAAACATTTTCCTTATTCGATTTGTTCCATACCGTAAAATTTATGATCGACATAATTAAAATTACCATGCAATGTCTGCTACTCGTTTTCATTTTGTATCATGTTATCCACAAAAATAGATTGCGTTTTTATAATTTTAATATCATTACAATGTGAGTTGACTTTTGATTCTATCAAATCTTATATCGTCCTTAACTCGTAACGTACATCTTGCGCTTCCTTGACATTCACCATGAATAGTATACCTTGACCTTGCCCGGTATCTACCTACCCTCCTACATATTTCCGCTATCGGGTTATTAGAGTAAGTATATCAGTTTAATCACTCTTTCATTTGGCAGTCCTTACATAAGTTTGAACTATAAAGCATATCTCTGTTTTACTTTTATAACGACACAATTATATAACAGCACATAAGTAAGGTTATCTTTAATTCGATGTAAAAATTGCATCTTGCACAATTAGTTTATTTGTTTGCTCTATCTAATGTAGTAAATTCGTACTACTGTATATTAGTGTAGGAATCAGTTCTACATTGTATCAGTGACTTGCCTTTCGCATCAAGATATAGCTACCAAGAAGTTTTCTTAGCGCTATTTATAGTGTTTCTTACATCATCTCTCCTTTTTATATCACTAGTGTACCATCCATTCTTGCTAAAAGCACATGCATGTAAACTTGACATTGAAAATAAACCAACGCAGTGTTACAATGAATGATTTGTTACAGTATCGAAATCACAACGTAGAATATCTTCAGGTCAGCAAGTTCAAACTGAAAAAGGATATGTAGTACGTATATTTTCTGATATTACTTACTTTTAGTTCCTCGAGTTGAATCAGTGGGTTAAAAGTGTAACTTACTTGAATGAACTTCAAGTTGATGGTAGTGGAACAATATTTTTTGTTACCAAAGTAAAATCTGGGGCTATTTTTTTTATCTTGAAACTAATTGATTTGTACCCAAGAAATGCTTTACTATCAGCCATGCTGAATATGGGAAAGTTAAAGCCATGGTGAGATTTTCGTATTCTGTATAACTCAAAAACGCCTGTGGTACCTGACTTTTGAACGCGGAGTGAATTTGACATTAAGAGCATAGAGATAGATATTTTCAATGGAAATTCGATAATCATCTCTAAACCCGAAACTCGATTACACTTGTCAAATTATCAGTTGCAAAGAAGTCATCGAATTCAGAGTGGAATTTTCTAGAATTGTGTAGTGTCTCGTTATTGGAAGAAAAATTTGTACACGAGTTGACGTCAAGCTGTTAACTAAGGTTTGGTAATCAAAATGTATATTAAAATTATGAGGTGAGTCAGAAACTGGGTGGTTCTTCTTCCATCAGATTATTGAAGAGATTGTGTTTAGTCGCGTTATTAATTCTGTGGTCCTCAGTTCCTTTTTCGGCTTGTTGCACTTGCTTGATTGATTTTGTTTTTGGATTGAGCATCTTTGACTTCCTCGTTGTACTGGCTATGTCGGTGACTAAAGATGTTAACCTCGCTATTGCGGTTCACTCTTCTGCGGACTCTATATGAATTGTTCTATCGTTCTTGGATTCTTCTACAATAGGGTTATTGTTTCGCGATGCCGCACCATGTACATATAAGTTTATATATTAGAAAACCGCTAGAAAGGCTAGCGGTGGCTTTGGAATCAGCGATAGACCCGCCGATTCCGGTATGCCAAAATCGGCTCCAGTTCTCAATGGACAGGCAGGTATGCATTAGGCTCTACATCCATAATTGTCCCTGCGCGGGAAATTCAACTTAGGTGTCGCTCAATGTAATCAGTAAAGTCAGAATTGTTTATTTTGGAATAAAAGATTGTTGAAACTTTGACGATATAAATTATTGTTCCTTTTACTTAAATTATTAAAAGAGGTTTAAAATTGGTCGCTTTAATTAATCTGGTTCAAAGGGTATAAACAATTTTGATCCATATCCAACGACTTCTTATTTATGTACAGTCTCACTATACAAATCCGTCAAATTTCCCCATTTGATTTTTAACCTTAAAATCCATCGCAGAAATGAGACATATTATGGTCACCTGACGCAACCACATGTACAAAGTTATAAATCTGATACTTATTATTTAACTTATTAACGTCCATTTTCACAAATGTCCTTTATTAAAAAAATGTATCGGTAATGTTGCATTAAAATATTGATAAATTGATAGTTATAAAGTAATTGGCAAAAGAACATTTTCGGCCTGTATAATATATTTTTTAATAAATTAATGCATATAGCAGTGTCTAGTTGGCATACAGTTTGTAACATATTAATTCAGGAGCTCACTGGACCCGCAATAGTGCTTTCAATCTACGATTGTGAATCTATTTTTTGATTGGTAAAAAAAACAAATGAACTTGATGAGATAATGAGGGTCACATTCCTAGGTGTATCTAACCAAAGCTGAGAAATCCGAAAGGTTTTATGATTATTGGATATGTGGAGGTGCTATAGTAAGTAAACTGCATATCATTACCTCTGCTGCGTGCGTGCAAGACGTCGAGTATATGTATGCTGTATCCGGATATAAGAAATATGTGCCCAATGATCTGATGGATAATGACTCATGTTGCAAACACACGAAGAAAAAAGTTGTATACACTTGTGTGCCGAAAGGTGAGTATTGTCATTTCCTGATCAAGATATAAGATATTTTAGAACTACATATAACAATTGGAATCGTAAAATAACATTCCAAATTCGAATGTTATGGCTATTACACACTGAGTATATTCCGCCTGGCAAACATTAGTGAACCATTGAGGCCAAGCTGAGGAGTGAGTTTGTATCTGTAAAAGTAAATACAGCAGTAGTGATCGGAACTGAGAAAAAAGACAGACGAAATTGATTCTCGCCTCGTACCGATCCCAACCAATACACTAAGAGATGCCTAAAGTTTTTTCTTCCTCGTAGATTCTTTAATATATTGTTTGGATTGGTTCTGTCGACTCTCTGCTTGCTAAATTTCTTTCATATTCGCAGAACTCTAAAATATTATGGTATTTAAGTAGTTTTATTCATAAATTTCTAACTTTTTATTGCAGCTTACGAATTTGATTATGCTAAAATAGAAAAATGGGCGTATATCGATATTGCGGTGGTCAAAGTTGAATCCGAATTCAATTTTGATGGTGAAAAGTTTAAGTATTGCACCTATAAACCTAAAGCTATAGAAATAAATTTCGATCCTAAATATCAGGAGCCTAATAGGGACTCTATTGTGTTTGGTTGGGGACACGCCGAGAAATGGAGAAAGGTTGGTGATGAGTCATATTCACATATGATTACAGTAAAAGCTAAATTAATGTGGTATGTCGTTAATTTTCGTTTGTGCACACCAGGCCTACCTTGTTCCGGTGCCAACAAGGTCACCCTTATAGTTTCACCATGTCCATCTGTCTCACCGTCCGTCCTCAGAGTAATAATTTCTTTATAAAAATACTCAAAAAAAATCTGACATTATGAAAATGACATCAAACTTACTTTTTCACATACTACAGGGGCTCAAGTCTTTCTTCTTATTTACTTATAGGTACAAAGACTTGTCAGCTTACAAGCTAAAATCCAAAACGCCAACAATTATGTTACAAAAATTTACCGCGTTAATCAATGAAATATTAATAAAAAAAAAATTATACCAAGTAAAAAGTGAGTTAAGCAATCTTATAATGCGTCATAATAATAAAAATACATTTAATAAATCATAATTAAGTAGGTTTGTCGTATCAATTAAAATAAAAAAGTTATGATTTCGTGGGTTCCTAAAAATATTTTAAAAAGTAACTGTACCACATATGGTACAGTAGGTCTAAATGGGCATTGCCACAATATGCCGGTGAAGCATATTATTAGGTGTATGCAAAAATAGTGCATCTTTTTTTCCTTGCTCTTAAGACAATATTTAAACTACAGATTTTCCCGTGTGATTTTGTGCTGCGGTAGCTCTATTAGTGAGTTTTAAGAATTGTTTAATGATTCGTCATTCAGTTGTTTACATCGTGTAAAAAAATTAGGTTAACAATGTCGGTGAGTAAAGAACATTTTCGCCATTATTTCCTTTACGAATATCAACAAGGAAAAAAGGCAAAAGATGCCTTTTAATTATTGACTAACGTTTTTGGTGAGGATACAATTACACGGACAATGTACAGTGACGTTGTTGTATGACAACGCCAGATCAAACAACGCAAAATCTATCAATGACACTTACATGTCTCTAGGTTGGGAAGTTTTAAGACATCCGGCATACTCTCCCGACCTCGCACCTACAGACTACCATCTTTTTAGATTGATGAATAACGCGCTACAAGGTGTACACTTTCGATCATTTAAAGTGCAAAATTGGGTTGAAAACTCCTTTGCATGGAAAAGTCAATAATTATTTCACGAGGGAATCCATAAATTATTGAGCTGACGGCAGAAGGTGTTGGACAAAAACGAAGAATATTTTGATGATTAATATATTGTTTATTTGTCTGTAAAATAAAATTCAAAAAATTAGAAAAAAAGTGCATTATTTTGCATACACCCAATATTTATATTTTATTGTACGGTCATACCTAGTTAGTTTAGGTATATGTAACCTTAAAAGTAATTTCAACATTTTTGATATATATACTGATAATAAGTTTCAAATCTGTCACTTTTCCAATATGATTAGATATTTGATAAGTTATTTAACTTTCAGCCCGAAGATACTAAAAACTATAACCAAGATACGTTGTATTATGCAACAACACTCATCCAAAAGAAAGATAAATGCAAAGAATCGTTTTCAAATTTTCCGCAGCTTCAACCGGTCATTGATAAATACATGATATGTACTTTCGACAGCGGTAATTTAAATGAAGAAGGTAAAATCATTAAAAAAGCGAAGCTTGCTGACGGCTGCACACCAGTTGCATATCGTTTAGCTGCTGGCGAAATAGCGGTGATTGTTTTTAGTTTTAAATTATTTATTTGATTAAACTAGAATTTTGTGGTCGGTGTAAATATGACCGAAGATCCCTCGATTATTTCTATTCACGTCGAGTGTGCAAGGTAGGATGTCACTAATTTGTCAGCTCTGACGTACTGCGACTGATGAGACTTCTGCGACAGTAGATGTGTCGTGCTCTCTTATGACTTCCGACAGTTATGTATGGACTGTGATCGATACATATCTGTCGGAAGTCGTGAGAGAGTAAAATTATAAAATCAAAATAATCAAAATCAAAATTGTTTATTCAGTTTAGGCTTTGAAACTGTGAAAGTTGAAAATAGATTGTGGCAGAGTCAGTGTATGTGTCTAAAAAAAAGTTCGATGGAAATAATTTCATATAGGTACGTAGTTTTACAAGACGTTGAAAAGGAATATGAGTTTTATATGTTATTTATGTATACACTCAAAAAATCTCAAGAAAGTTTTTCGGAACAGTGAAAGTTTCCTGTAACAAAATTAATGGTATAACGTCGTCGTTTTTACGAGCTTTCATTAGCAACGACCTGGTCATCAATTAATTAGAGTGTTAAATAATGCTATTATGAGCTTTGGCGTTTGGCGAAAGATTTACATGGTTAGAACTTAACTTGAATTATATTTATAAAGTTGAATAAAGTCACGGTACCAGTATTATAATATTTTGGCGATGCAGGACACTGAACATAGGGACTTGTGCTGATGATGACGAAGTTCCATTTACAGTGTCAAGAGGACGAAACACGAAGATCTGACAAGAATATAACGACACGCATTTTGGAAAGGGAACAGAGCCGAAGACAAGGTATATGCCAGGTACTTATTTAATTATTAAATTTAATTATACGATTAAAGAAATTGACCACTAAAGAAATGGAACAAAAGAACTAATGGCAGTCTCTCCCAGTCAAAAATTAAGTATGCTTAAAAAGAAGAAACTGACTGATATACATATTAATTATATTAGTATCAATACAGACAAACTATAGAAACATACGAGTATAGTTTGAAAATACGATTTTGCTTTACGTAGTCTGCAACCATTATTCTGTTACAATATCTCAATCTTGACCAGTTTCTCGGATTTGTCATGATGTGAGTGGAATTGTCCTTCAATAAATTTTAAGCATTAATTCGTCAATTTAAAAATTCATTTCGAGCTATTAATTATATAAGAAAATTTGATATTTTGTGGCAGCTTGTTTTACTTCTCTGCGACAACAGATAACCTAATTACCTTGCATCTACTACAGAGCTTGTAGTAATGCATTTCTTGAGATACATCACAATTGGTCTTTATCACATCATAACTTCGCAGTGATGAGCCACATAGGTTGTATAATATTTGTACTCGTTCTTCGTCATTCGTGTCGAGGTTCCCCTACAGACATGACGCCCAGTAGGCAGAGGTATTGACAGCCCCGCCCGTATAATATCTATTTGGCGCAACAACGGTTCTACCAAATATCTGTACTAATTATTTTTTAGAATGACCACGGTGGTTCTCTGGTGACATGGGTGGGCACCAGAGAGGTGCTTATTGGCGTGGCGTCTGTATTCAGAGTGACCAGTGATTCTAATTGTGCCGGACCATACTTGTACACCAGTACCCAATGCAACGGCATTTTCTTAGACTGTATGATAAATGCCAATGAAGTCAAGTAAGTGAATAATAGAAAACATTGTAGTGTTAATATGGATAATTTTTGCAGTTAACAGTAAATTTACTCGCGTACCATGATGAACTCGAGAAGCTCTTTGCGTACATCCAATTGCCACCTCTCTTGGGTGCGCAAATACAATATCTCACTCTCGATCCTCAAGTATTTCTAGTTTATCATCCTATGCGTACTGTATCTACAATTTTCTCGCCAATTTATTTTAAGTTTTAAAGTTTTAATTGACTTCGGAACTTGTTGTATTTTGTGCCGTGCTGCTACTTGGTTTTCCTTTATTTGTGAAAGTGAACTTTACTACAGATTTGATTTTGTATGAATTATTTTATTGTGGGCAGATCAAGAAAAGCTATATGCGATAAGCCACCAATAGAAAAGGGATTCGACACAATAGAAAGACACATATCTTGGAAGAACCATCCGGACGGGTAAGTTATGTAGGGCTGATTTAAATAAGTAAATATTGAACAAAATGCTTTAGATACTGCATCTGATGAGTGTCTAAAGCATCGTGTTAGAATTTATCAAAACATCAATAGCAAGAGGAATTACGTCATGGATTTTCGACATTTCCCAATGTATTATATTTAAATAAAGACAAACCATTAAATGTCTTACTGATCGCAAAAACGGCTGGAGCAGCTCGGTTAATTTAAATATTATCTATACTAATATCATAAAGAGGAAAGATTTGATTGTTTGTTTGTTTACAACGAATAGGCTCCAAAACTACTGGATCGATTTCAAAAATTCTTTCCCCTACGGGATAATAAATCGTATGCGGTGAACATAGGCTATATTTTATCTTAAAAAAGTTGTTTTTAAATAAGGATGAAAACGGGAGTGGATGTTTGTATAGGGAATTAAAATGTTACCATAGTAACTATTATTTACCATTCAGTTTGTTATTGTAATTATATCTGTGTCATGATATGACTATAAAAGCTTGTATATTAAATGTAGGCGGGTAGTCTCAGGGGGCTATTACGAAGCCCAAATAGATCGTCCATATCGGAGGACTATCTTTAAAATAACACTGCACGCGTGTATACCAATGTGGACTTATTCCATTTTAACACTTTTCATACGAAAATATAATGAGATCAGCGCGATGTCGTCGGATGTCTTTACTCCTCGACGATCGGAAACAGAATGTCTGCCAAAACGGCGGCAACCCGCTTCCCGCCAACGAACTGTCAAAGTCAGTGCCACCACTCTAATAAAATTAAAAGTATCGATGATCACGCCCTCCGTCGATGACGTCCGACCTCTATCACCTCTAATCAAACAATCACGACATAATGGCAGACCGTCTGACGTTTCACCATAGTGAATAATAATTCACTCTCGTTTAGGAATCAATATCGAATATTCGTGGTACAATCAATGCGCCGACATATATAATTACATTTAATTTGAAAACTGAATATATCACAATTCGTTTTTGTTTATGTTTTTATAGATTATTTTGTTATAAAACTATTGCGTGTTGTTTATTTTTTTATTTCACAATACTTTAATTTCGAACTAGGGCCTGACGGAACGGCTGGGACAGGGAGAGTGCCAGACGCGATATCATACGTATCATAAACTATTATGATGCTATTGCATGACAGCGCGACCTGCATGGGTAACTTAAGGCGCGAATGGATTTATTGTAGAGCTTAATCAAAAATCGGGACAAACTTAATAATCAATTAATATGGTTCTGGAAAATTCGGAACGGGTGGCGACCCTGCTCCGATGTTAGCAGATTAAAAGTGAGAGAATAAACGTGAAAGTGATTTACCTTAAACGACACAGTATTAAATTTTGCACAAAAATTACAATGTTTTCCTGTACGTACATACATGTGACTCATTTAAAGAGGTAAACTTTATTTTTCAGACCAGCTGCAAATGAATTGGTGATGAGACCGCAATATCCTATCAGATACGGCTGATGTTAAAAATGTGGAATTTTTACTTCTGTTTAAAATAATAGACTAACATAATATGTGATATTATTAATTATAAATTAGCAATCAAAACACCCTATTGAAATGGGATTCGTACAAAAAACGTGTATTAAATATAAATTTTATACAGTGTTTTAGTACCTTGTCCATGTTTGGCAGCGTAAATTCTGTATCTGTATGCAAAAAAGCATTTTTACACGACGTATTTGCTCTATCTGAATTGTAAATACGCTTGGTGATTTTGTTTTAAAATAAGAAAAAAAAAGTCGTTTCAAAATTTCTGTCAACTTTAAATTCTCTAGCGGCGAAAATGCTGTATCTCCTTTTAATTACGTTATTAATAATGTTATTTAATAAGAATAACTTTATTTCTGTTTTTGTATTTGTACTATTTTTGTATTTGTAACAGATTTCAAAGCCGTCTTTATGATTTATTATTTACGACCATTTATAGAATCATTTGGAAAAAATAGCGATATGAATTCACTTTTAGCTCATCTGATTAGTTCAATTGTTGAACTAAGACTTTTTGTCCCAGTAGTTCAGCTCCGTATAAATTATTTTAACGGTAGAAATACTGAGACCCATTGTTTCATTTAGCACGCTTGAGTAGTTTGAATTTAGAACCCTTAAACGCTGCAAATAGATTTTAAACTATTTTTGGTTAGTATCTGCAAGAATTTCACATTTCACGAAACCACTGAGCTACTCAGGATTTAACAGGACTGGCGAATTTATCAAGCACTTGTTACTTTTTTGCTACTTAAAAGTAACAAGCGCTTGAAAAGTTCGTCAGTTCTATTAGATCCTGGGTAGCTCAGTGGTAAGAGCAGTCGCCCGGACTTCGAAAGGTCGAGTCCCATTTCAGAGAGTAGGAACAAAGTGTTTTATTTAGGTAAAGTTTATTTTCAACATAATTGAATAAACATAAACTTTTCAAAGTTTGATCAACTCAGGTTTACTATTGGTGTTCCCAATAGCTCACTGGTCTCAGTAGTACGACCGTTGAAAGAGTTTATATTCGTACATAGTTGAATAACTTGTTGATACAAAAAGGCTCATTGGGTCAACGGTCGAACTAATTTTGGTGAACAAGTGAGAACTGAGGAAATAAACTTTGGAACTACATATAAAATGGTTATAACGTTAAAAAATCACTGTATCAAGCCGGTATATAGACCATTCGATTCGATATATTTTTTTGAACACAGAACATAACTCATCTTTTTACTTATTAGGTTGTCCACCAAAAGCCGAGATTAAACAATTCCCTTTTCAAGATACAGCACATCAAAAACGCTTTCTGTCTTTGACATCATGGGGACGATAAGAAACCTCGGAAATCTCCAAAAATTTATATACTTTGAAATTGAATATCTTACGACGCAGACAGGAGCATTTATGAGTATTTCGAGACAACATTTAGAACGCTAAAATGATTGAGTTTCGAAGTTGACTCTTTTTTCTGCTTTATTTATAATTTAGGGAAACCAAATATTTTTATAGAACCTTAATAATCAACAAGTAGTGTTATATGCGAAAGGAAAGAAATTTAGTGACAACACAAATTTAAGCAAACATATCAAAAAATAGGAATAACAGAAATAACCAAAGTCAGGTCAACGACGTGCGAGGTCAACAAGTATGTGTACTGATTATTAATAAATTTGATATTTTATTTTACTTTGACTCCGATAATTTACAGATATATGACTTATATAATATATGTAACCCAACATATGCCCTAGGGCTTCGGAATACACTTTCAGAATCGGTGATACAACAAATAAATTACGTCTATAATAAAACAATTAGTATTTTCAGTTCTGAATTTTATTTCAAAAACAAATGTTATATTTGTTGGAAATACTCTGATTAATGCGAGTTCTGAGAAGTAGTACAGAGCGGAAGGGAGAGCTTTGAAAGCGGACAGTTTGCATCTGTATATATCTAGAGACTCATTTAGACGTAGCGTTAAACTGGAATTTATTTAAGGACAAAGAAAAGTACTAGAAAGGAATTATGTGCTATTTTTACGTATAATTTATAATTTAGCTTACATTTATATTGAGCAAAAGAAATAACGTAAGTAATATTTAACAAATAAACTTGGAATTGGAATGAAGTAAGAACTCCCAAAAAAGAAATTGAATTAATTGTAAATGCAAAATTGATCAAATACAGTAATCAGAATTAATTTTCGTCTTTATTGTAATTTTAAATATCTGTAAAAACATTTCATTCAGCTTTCTTTCCGTTTAGGTAGATTGCCTGAACATTGATGAAAATACGTTCTGTAATAGCAAAAAAGTAAGAAGCGCTTTAAAAGTTGTCAGTCCTGTTAGGTCCTGGGTAGCTCAACAGTTAGAGAAGTCACTCGGATTGCGAAAAGTCATGGGTTGTGAATAGCTATATGAATAGATAAATGATCAAATATAATAATTAAAATACTATATGATGACTTTTGACAGTTCTTCAATTAAGTTATTACTTTTACTCAAGTAATTGTTTCTACTGGTCTATAAATAATAGTGTTAGACTATTTTTTTTAACCAAAAGTGTTTATCATATCCAAAAAATCTTTAAGAATTCTTCATGAGTAACTCTTTATAAGTTAAAAATCATCTATTAAAATTACGTATTCGTTTTACTGTTTTTATTATATTAATATCAAAGTCAATCAGAAAAACATTTTAAAAGATGTCATTTAGAAAAAAATGATTAATTCTCTTCATTATTGTCCAGTGACAGTTCTAATATTTTTAAATCTATACAAACAGTATGCAGAACCAAAACCGTCTGTGGATTAAACTTTTATTTTGGACGTTTTACTTTATAGAGAGAAGAGCGATCTCGACTAAGTTGTACTTACTTGCTAATTGTGGATGATTAAACTTGCTTTTGTGATTACATTTGAGTGTTTTTGATGCTAAAATGTAAGTTTGTGTAATATTAAATATGTATTGTTAGTAATGTTTAATCGACTTCAAATCGAAAAGGAGGAATATGTTAGACGGATGTTTTTTTACGTATGTTCATCGATATTTTCGTCTATCTCGTGATCCAATGCCAATCTTCAGCCTATAATGACTGATTTTGGCTTAATATTTGTTCCTGCAGCCGTTATACCAGCGTTCTTTGCGTTTCCAGTTGTTTTTCAGCTCTTCCATGGCTAGAATTCGTTGTTTGGTTAGAATTTGATCGGATTTGAGCAGATTTCGTTTTTTTGGAAAAAGTCCACACGCAGTCACCATTTGTAGAATCGAATCGCAGTCTTTATTTTCTTCCTTTTCCTGGTGTTGCCAGCTCACAGACTAGGTACATAACATACAATATCAGACACAAATATTCACCTAATTTAAGAGTAATGTAACATTTATTAATTTTAAAGTGTGATCCACACGGTTGCAGCAGTGGTAAATCAAGTTTAGAACACAATCGACGACGAACGCATGAAGAAATAAGTTCCCAACAA